CTGTATATTTATTGTGCACAAAAAGTTGCCCTCGGTTCTGGATTTGTTTCTCCAAATTCTTACCTCGACAACACAAAAGCTTGTTCTCTCTCAAGTACTCTTGTTGTTGACATCTGCATGAATCGCATTTGACTGAATTGTCTTGCCATCCAAAAAGGCAGTATAAATAGGCGAAATTTTGGATGATCTCAATATCAGGCCCAGGAGGGTATTAACAATGGTTTTTTGAAATGTTTTGATTTGACTGTTTTGGTTAATTTAGCAATATTTTGAGATGGCAGTTTAAATATACAGAGAAATAAATTGAGATACAGCACACTTTTGTGCGCCATTAATATACGCATTTTTCAATGGGTGGCACTATAGCATTCTGGTCGTCCATCCCAATTTTTTTTGGACCAGTGAGTTCTGTAGCTAAGTGCAGCTTTGCAGGTATGACAAGAAAAAGAAGGCCAAGTATTGCACTTTGTAGAGATTTCATTTGATACCGGAAAAATGTGTCCTTTGCATGCATGATAATACCAATGAAACAAAAAACAAACTTTTAAAATAAATTTTAATAATTTTGTTGAATACACTTGCAGTTTAATTTTTTTTTTTTATTGAAAATATATCCTTTAAATGTTGACTGCATTACTGTGAGGCTATACAAATATCAAGTCTGGTTTCAGATAGGAATAGTTGACAAATGTTCAACAGTTATTGTTGATAGTGATCAGTGTAAAGAGGCCTGGTTGTGGAAATAGCTCCTTGGTGATTTATTAAATTACACTGATTAAGATGTAATTAAGTCCCTGGATATTCTGTGATAATTACAAAGGCTGAAATTAAAGCTATTGCACTTTGTTTTATCTGATAATATTAGCATTGTACCTGTTAACTTTATTGACTATGTACAAAGCCCCATATTTGGACAAAACAGTTTATTAAAACTCTTACGCCAGTTTTGAAACTGATGCCAATATTGTTGATTGTTAAAAAGGTTTAAAAAAATCCTCCATGAAAAATATGTAACTTGGATTTCATTCAGATACGAGTTGGTTAAGTACAACAGTAATACCCCTCCCCCCCCCCCAAAAAAAAAAAAAAAGAAAGAAAGAAAGAAAACAAAGCAAAAAACAAAAATTGAAGTACAGTTCTGTGATTTTTAACTTGATACACTGGTCTGAAAAGTGTACACTTTTGTTAAGCTTCAGGTATTTTGTAATTCATTATGGGACATGAAAGAGTGGTATTGCTGTACTGGTTTTACAGGGTTCTCATTAACGCAAGAATCTGCGTCCTAGACGCAGCAAAATTCCTTGGGACGCAAGGTTCTTAAAAACGATGCGTCCGCAGACTCGTGATCGGACGCGTCCTCGTTAGCGAGAAAATTCGGGAGATTTCGAAAACGGGAAATTTAGATGTTAGGATTTGTCAAAGAAATATTTAATCGAAACCTTCATGTAACTATCATAAAGTTTATCCAAGAAACAACTTTTCTTGTACTTATTTCACTTTTTTTAAACAGGGATTGATCATAAGATATTTCATGTTTATTAGTCCAGTCCATAGACACTCCCCTGCTTAATTGTTAAAAAATATATATCTACTATACTATAAACATAACGTTTATAGTATAGTAGATATATATTTTTTAACAATTAAGCAGGGGAGTGCCTATGGTCCAGTCATAATAGTGTCGCATGCCAAACTTTAAAAAAAAAAAACACTTTTGAATCTTGAGTGTTATCTACATGCAGAAACCATAATTACTGCTTGTATACACAATGGGGCTTGATTATCTCGTGAATTTCACCCAGTGCAGACGACCGACAGGATTAGTTACGCCTCATTGCACATGACACCTGTGATTGTACACAGTCAACTTTTGGGTACTAGTTGATTATGCAACAGTTAATTTTAGCTTTATAAACACCAAGTTATTTTTATGGCAATTGATTACGCGTGTATTTTAGAATATGGCTTGAATGCATTACCAGTTTATATACTTGAATATGTTAATATTGCGTAAACAAACTGATAAAATGATAAAAGATTTTTATTGATGTTTGGATGGAAGAATACTGCAATATTTTAGTTGGGACTCAACATAATTTTTCTGGGACGCATCAAATTTAGCTGGGACGCAACCTTCTCAGAAAACTTGAGTCCTGGGACTCAAGTTAGCAAAATCCTAGTGAGAACCCTGTTTTATTATTTCAAAGCTTCCAACCATCAAATCCCAAAGAACAAAAAGATTTCCAGCTTGTTGAGCTGAACAAAATTACACTTGGTCATAGTAGAAATTGTCATGGCAAAATCTTGTAGATTCATCTCATCATCAAAATGGATTCAGTGCTTGTTGAAGAGGAATAGAGGAATAATGTCATTTTCCTGTGAATTTCTGAAGCTTGCTCCAATTTACTGTGTTGGTGCTTCACTTCTCTGCTACTTTTCTGATTTTTATCAACTGATAGCTGCTCTTGGGTCATATTTTAATGGTTTTAACTGGACGTCCCATTAAGATGGGCACTGATGACATTTTCTGCTTCATCTCCCTCCTCCAGTTTGAGACAGTCAGATTATTATATAAAAAGATGTGAAGCTTTTGGCATGATGAGTTTATTAATAAATACATGTCTGAATTGCAACTGAATACAATGCATGACAAGATATATGCTGTCTTTGACTTGATGATATTTTGCATCAAATGTCAAAGAATTGCTGGGATGTGGCTGTTGATCAAGGACCTAATGTTAGAGCTTTTATGACTGGAGAGACAGAGTTAATGGCCCCAGTGTACTGTTACAGTGACCCACTCATATAAGGTGGGTAGTGAAGTACATCAAAATTACAGTCATGATTTAAAGAAAAGTACCTTAGAATACAGCAAAATTAATTGTTCCAGCCACAAATAAAGAATTTATCTTTAGGAAATTTCAGGAATATTTTTTTTTAAGTATCCCATCCCTTTGCAGTTCATATTTCCAAAGCAACATTTCAGATCATTTGAGTCACTGATACAGGGTGTATTGAACATTTTTTATTTCTTCTCTAAAACTCCTAAACCAATTTCAGCCAATATTGGCAAAAAAAAACAAACATTTGATGGATTATGGAAATTGATTTTCATAATTCCACATTCCCTACCTTATGTGTTGATCACTGTCCATCAGCAAAAGTCGTGCTATCTTCAAAAATCATCTTTTCTACTGAACAGTGAGCAGGCATCCTGTCTGAATGGTTATACGGTACCAAGGTACTTCACAACAAACCCTCTACCAAAATTGTGAAGTGCATGACCTCAGGTTTCAGGATTTTGACCAAAGATGTGCATGAGTTGGTCATAATATTCAATGTATACAACATTTAAAATTCTTCAAGGCATCTACCAGGGTCATAGTTTGGGGATCCAGGGCCAGTTTTGGGGTTCTGGCCAATAGATTGAAAGTGTATTCTATCTTTGAATTTCATTTCTTAGTTTATGGCTTGAAATCTAACAGGCAAATTATTTGCATCACAATGATTAAAAAATGAGCTGTCTGCCATATTTTGTGAAATTAATGTCCTTTGGGTCCAGCGTGTATGCCACTAGCATTCCATGACTTAGGGCATAAATATCATAATTTGAGAGTGCACTATGCATGAAATATGTCTTTGAAATTCTTGAAATTCTTCAATTGTTCACTTGTTTGTATTGAGTAATGTGCCTTTTACAGTTTTTGAAATTCCTGACCAAAAGCATCAATTTCAAGCCATCAGGGCCAGACAATATTTGTTATGCTCAGAAAATGCAACGTGTAATAAGAAATTCTTCTTTCTCTTCTGACATCTAGCAGGCGAACTCTTTTTACCCCTTCAGGATAAATGATACAAACAAACTTTTTTTTCAGAATTCAGCAATTTATCTATTAGATTTATGATTATATAGATAACTTGAATAATATTTGCCAAAGTTATTGTGGAAATTTTGTAAGATTTTGTAATAGTGTCATAAAATGTGTTTGAACACCAAAAAAATGAGATACGTTACTTTGATTAGCACACTAAAACATTGAGGTTAATTTTTAACATGGTACCTCATGTTTACAAGCTTTGACTGGAAAAATTGGAATCATGCAGAACCTTGCTTCATGGTCCCAGAACCTTTTATTTGATAAAGAATCCGAATAGGGAAATCATTACCATTAAACAGGAAGGGAACATTTTCGATCCCATATACAATGTTGTGGTGTTAGTTTATGGACCATTGTGAAAAATATTGCAGAAAATGTAAATTTACATTTGACTTAATTATTTGATTTGATATTCAAATCGATGCTGAAGAGTGGAAAAAATCGAAACGGATGCAGAGCCTTACTTGAAGTAAACATTAGAAACTTCTGAGAAAATGAATATGATTTCTCGTAATTACTTCAGTCCATGAGAAGCTGTAATTTTTCCCAATTCATTTGTGTTACAGAATTTAGACTTCCTGCAGAATTTATATTTATTGTCAGAGCCATTTAACTATTGGCATTGATCCATATAAATATCAATCATTTTACAAGAATTTGATTTCAAGGATTCTAATTTTGGTGTTTTATGAGAATGCTTGGATAATTAACACCACAAGGAGTTGGGCTTTTGGGTCGTTAGTTTGTCTGACCTGTTAGCAGGGTTAGTCAGAAAGAATCATTACTAGAAAAAAGAAATCAAAGTGAGACATTTGACTAGCATTACATATAATTAACTTAGAGAACATGTTTTACATGAATAGCTTTTAGAATAGGGTGGAATAGAAATATTGAATTAAAAAAAAACTCATTGAATTATCATTCTCCTTAAGAATTACTAGTAATATATTTTATCTTGTACAAGTTTATAATTCAACAGTCTTTGGATAGTTCCCTAAGCTTCTGGATATGACTCAAAACAGTTAATTTTATATTTTAAGTTGATAGAACAAAATTTTTCTATATGAAGAATTTAAATGATGAAATACTAATCAAAATTTACATGTGATAAATCTATTTCAGATCCAGAAAACACTTTCCTTAGTTTCTCCAATCCCAACTACCAATTTGAAGACCAACTTAAAATGAAATCCAGTAAAATTAACAAAGACGTAAACATCTATGATGAGGTAGACATCACGTCAATGTCTCTGTTAGACAATAAATCTGCTTCAGAAAAATACTCCAACAAAAGTGAGAAACAGAGACTTCTGGCCGAATTGTCTGCCGACAGTTCATCAGAGGATGAAGACAGGAGTGAATGTGAAAACAAGGACTTAAAACAAAACACATGGAAAAATGAGAAAAATCTAATACAGAAAGGGGGCAGGAATTCACAAGTGGAGAATGAAAACTCTGGCAAGAAATCCACAGGGTTTCTGGACTATTACTCCATGCTGGAAAGCAAAGCCAAGGAAAAGTCCCAATCCGTCTCATCCGACCTGGATCTGGAACTGGAGTGGAGTGGGATTACATCTCCAGTCAGCCAGGCCAAAGTCAAGTCAGTGTCATAGGAGTCAAGTCTGCTTTCTTGCAAAAGAATTGTATTTTTTTCCCAAAGAAATGAAGCTTTTATGACATGCTAATTCAGAGAATTTGTGTCCCCTGTTAAAGAAAAAAATGAGGGTAGAAAAAGTGAAAAAAGTTATGCAGATGGAAAAATACCTTCAGCTTTTGGACTTTAAGTCAAAAGGGGTCTTTTTTAGGTTAAAGAAATTCATTACCTTAAGTTTCATTGCAGAAGCTTACAGAGAAGTAAAGTACTGTATGCAATATATAAAATTCTGACCTTGGATTTTGACCTTTTGAACTCAATGTCAATAGGAGTCTTTTTTTAATGTCATATTGACTAAAGGTATAAATTTCATTGCAAAACCTCAAAGAGAACTAGAGTTATCACCAGGAAACCATTTTTTGCAAGATATGAGTTTATTACCTAGACCTTTTGACCTAAGAATCAAATTGGGTCTTTGAGTCATTTGGGGATATGTTCTAAGATTTCATTGAAAAAGCTCCAGGAAAACTAGAATTATTATCTGGAAATCATTTTTTGCATTGTATGGATTTCTGACCTTGACCTTTGACTTAAAAATCAATATTGGTTTTTTAGGCCATATTGAAAGAAGCTTAAAGAAAATTAAAGTTTGAAAAAAGGAAAATGCTATTTGCAATGTATGAATTTCTGACCTGTGACCCTTTGATCTCATCTTCTTTACACCATAAGGAGTTTTTATACAACATTTCATTGCAAAATCTCAAAGCCTTCTTAAGATATCACCCAGGAATGAAAGTGTTACATGCAGAATGTATGAATTTATATGACCTTGACCTTTGACCTTTCAACTGAAAATCAATAGGGGGTCTTCTGTAGGCCATAGGGAGTAATATTTTTTAAAAATTTTATTGAAAAATAGCTCAAAGAAAACTAAACTAAAGTTATCATCAGGGAACCGTTATTTGCAATGTAAGAATTTTTTACCTTGACCTTTGACCTCAAAATCAATAGGGGTGTTTTTAGACCATAAGGAGTTGTGATATAAAATTTCATCACAAAATCTGAAAGGTTTCCCTTGACCTTTAACCTCAAAATCAATAGGGGTCTTTTTTTTAGGCCATATGGAGTTATGATATAAAATTTCATTACAAAAACCCAAAGGCTTTTAAGAGATATTGTCCAGAAATGAAAGTGTTACACACAAACAGATGGACAGACAGAAGACCAGATTTATTTCCCAGGGCTTTCAAAAAGATTATAAGCAAGTATTTTTAAAAAAAATAGGAGGTACCTTGTGGAAGTGATTTTAATTAAATATGTTGCTAAACTTTTATCAGTCAAATATTTTTTCAATATTTTGTCCGGTACAATTACAATTTGAGCCGGGTATAGTACCGGATACAGGCAGATTTGGAAAGGCCTGATATCCCCCACTTTCACTGAAAATAGTAGGGATAAATATAAAATTTCATAAAGTTAAATTTAAGGAATTGCCTGTGTTTTTTGGAGATGCCAAAAAAGTAAGCATTGCTAATTTATGTTTTAGGTTTGACATAAACTCGCCTGATAGTGGTATCCATTCAGATGCAAGATCAGATGATGGGACACATGTCCATGGACCTGTTAATGATGATGTTTCCTCAGTGGTCACTAAGTCATCAGAGCAGGACAGTTCGGAAGAAACCACACCCACAGGGGTAAAAGAAAACTTATTTTTCAAAATAATTGTTTCATGTTCTGAGACAAAAAATCAGAATATTGGTTAAGTTCCTTTATACATATTATAAATAAACACAGCATATTAAAAACATTTTAAAGTTTCAATTAACAAAAGAAATTACCACTAGAAATATTTTTTTAATGCAAAAAACCATGTTTTACCCAATAGACTTATGTGTTTTTGATCCATCAAATCAAATATTGAAAGGTTGGGGATTCTGGTCTTTGCCAGTTGCATCCCAATGTTTTTATGTCCTTGCCAGTAGTAAAGAAGATGCCAGACAGAGATTTTATGTGAATGGGGGATGTAATATGCATTATATGTCACAAGTAATTTTTGAATGGCTTTCTTTTCTTTAAGCAACTGATAAATCATGTGTGAAATAGTAAAATAATGACTTAAAGTGAACTTTAAATGTAAGTAGTTAAAAGATTTGACCATCACAGTGCCATCAAAGGAAATTTTACAGATAGAGGATGGAGTATGGAGTCTGTGATAAAGACCATTCCTCTAATCAGGATTGAAGATCTTGTTATCCCACAAGTCATATTCTTCAAAAACAGGGCTTCACTTTGTCATGCAATGAGAGAGTCCCATTGTCTTGAGATGTTCTTGATCTGCAGTTTTTGAGGATTATTTATTAGCACAAAATAAAGATACACTGCGTACATTTTACTGCAATCGTGTAATTAGAACTCTCTCTAGTGTCTCCTCTAATATTGATCCACGGAACTTGTTGGGCCCTTGTCTGGTGTTGCAGTGATTAACTGTTGCTTTAGATGACAGGGTTTCACAAATCCGATTGTCACTGCAGTATTTCTGAGATCCCTACTTACATCCGGCCATAATCTTTATTTTAGCTCTCCAGTCTTCGTAAACATTTCTCGTGTCAAGTAGTGCACTTTAAAATTGAAATGAAGAAGCCCCACAAAATTGTTACACTTATGATTATGCAATCTGTTATACTGTCTGATTGGTTTTTCTGTTGACCTTGTGTAGGACGTGCCGAAGGAAGTGGTGCTGCCACCTGGCTGGGAGAAGTGTGAGGACGAGGAGGGGGCGTATTACTGGCACATCAAGAGTGGGACGATCCAGAGGGAGCTACCATCACCAGCCCCACCCGATGTCAAACAGACCACACTTAGGTCACTGAGTGTTAAGAGTAATTCGGTATGTTCCATTTGTTTTACATGTTTTAGCCTGTACATCATACTGTGAAAGCCAGATAATGAAATTACTCAGAACATTAAAATCTGATTATAATTAGAGAACTTAAAAAAAAGTTCTGTAGAGCTACAGTATTGTTTTGAATTGGGACATTATGCATGAAGTTTGAATTGTAGCAATATACAGTAAAACTCTGTTATCATGGTTATAGTGAAGTCCTTGGGACCTCTGAATTCGTGAGTTGGTATATCTGTATAGTGAATTTCCTAAAGTATATATAGTGAAATCAGAGTACATGTTTTCCTTTAAGTATGATTTCAGAATATGTTCAGGGAAGTATTTAATACAAAAATTATCTTGGAGGACTTAAGTTTTCTGATGAATTTAATTTCAAATATGAATTTTTATGAAAAATAATGTCAGTTTCAAAATTTTATGATCTTAAAAAAATCATTATAAAGATGTATATTTTGTTATCTTTTAACTTGTACAGAACACAAAATCAATTTGCCTTATCCATAAATTTGTAATATCTGAGTTCTTTATAACCGTAAAAATTTACAAGGAATTGTTGGAATTTGTCAGGCATCATAAAATGTAAATTCCCTACGTCTGTGTTTCTACTAAACAAGTTTTTTACACTGTAGTATTTTTTTTTCAGTTCCAATTATGATGATTCAAGCATAGAATGTGTTATAGTGTGGTATTTTTCTGTATTCTTTCAGAGTTCTGGCTCTACAAATGGATCTGTACCCTCTAGTCCATCTAGTGTATCCTCTAATACAGAGGACCCACTAAAGGCTTTTGAAGGCCATGCCTTACAATATGCTGCAAAATCATTGCAAAACATGTGAGTATTAGAGGTAATAGTTTTGATTGTTGTGGAAAAGGGTTTTTATGCCTCCGTCATAAATTGGCCGGGGGCATATAGTGTTACCCTGTTCTGTCATTCCATCATCATTCACTTTCCGTTCATTATCTCTGCAACAATTGCACACATTCAACTCAAATTTGACATATGGATACATCATAGGAATACGCAGGTCAAGTTAGAATTTTGTCATGGTCCGATGATTTTTTGACAGAGTTATCCCTCTTGAACTTAGAAAAAAAAAAGAAATTTTCATTTTCCACTCTCTTACTTTTGTAGGGATGTATGTTTAAGGTTGAAATTGCATATGCAGGTATTTTAACAGAAAATACAGGTCAAGTTCAAATTTGGTCCTGGTCCAATGATTTTTGACAGTTATTCCCCTTGAACTTGGAAACTATTTAAAAATTCACAATTTCTAATCATTATCTTGGCTACAAATGTGCAATTTACAATAGTTTCTATTTATTTTCTAAGTTATAAAATAATGCACATTTTGTGTATACTATATGCAAACAAATTTAAAACTAATATGTAGGGATGTCAAAATATTTATTTTCTTTAGTTGAATATTCGATTGCATTATTCGAACGATAGTCGAATATATTCGAATCTTTTTTGGAAAATAAAATTTTATTTTAAACCTCATTGGTACATGACGTATTTAACCCCAAAACCTTTTTTTCAAGTTTATTAAAAAGTAAAAGTAACAACAAATGTTACACACAGATGTTCACGTTGACCTAAAATGTGGATAGCGTGTTTATATTAACTAAATCTTGTCCATAAATTGGTCTGTAAAGACGTTTTTTTTTAGTAAGCATAAAAAATGACAGTACTATTTATTTTTTAAGCTTATTAAAATAATTGAGGGGTAAGGAAGGGGGGGGGGGGGGTAAAACACACAATACCCACACGCCAGATGTCTGTGATAATGTTAAACAGTTGAATATACTTTTTGTCCCGGCTATCAAAATGTCTTTGAATTTTGTAAAAGAATATTAACTCTATAATAATTATCGTAGCGTCCAAACATGTCACGGCTATAATGGGTACATCGTTTGAGATCAAGCCCAGTTAATAATTTTACAAACAAAGCCCAGCATAGTGAGATAATTTTATTACAAAAACAACACATTAATTGACAAATAATTCTCGCAGAAGTGAAGCATTTCTAATTACTGTACTCTTTACATGTAAAGTCAACAGTTTTGAATGAGGAAAATCATCTTATTGACTGTGTCTGAGGAAAGACCGTTTCTCGATTTTAAATAAGATGAGAATTCCATCTCTTTATCATTCTTTAATTGAATTTATTCATTCGAATATCATTTCATTATTTGATCGTCGGTCCATTCGACTGATAGTCGAATAGTCGACTATTCGTTGACATCCCTACTAATATGGCATTTGAAATTTTGGCTGCCTGTGGAGGCATTCGTGGCATTACGACACATCTAGTTGTAATTTACCAGGATATAAGGGACGCTAATTATGATAGTAAGACCACAGTTTTATTCCTTTTTACTTTATAAGTAATGGTTTTCTTATTACTTAGTTCCTCGAAGCAGGAGGTGCAACCAGAACCAAGGAAGACTGAACCGCATGAGAAGCCAGTACGATTTGCAGTTCAGTCGTTGGGTTGGGTCAGGATAGCTGAGGAGGATTTGACTCCTGAGAGAAGTAGTCGAGCTGTCAATAAATGTATTGTGGATTTGTCATTTGGCAGGAACGATATCAACGACGTAGTTGGTCGATGGGGAGATGTAGGTTTCCTGGGATAATTCTCTTTGATTTTCAATATTTGTGTAAAGATTTTGCTCAAGTAAAAAAAAAAACATACATGTATGGATCAATATTTAAAAATATTTGTTCTTAAAAACATGAATGTTTATTTTTACATAGTAGATGCCACAGTTAAGTGATATATAATATGTGTGTAAATTGGTGGCCCATTAAATTGTATCTGTGTAATTTCTTGATTCTCTTTAGGGTAAGGATCTGTACATGGATCTGGACAAAGACAGTCTGAGGTTGGTGGACACTCAGGATTTCACCACTCTTAACTCACAGCCCATACAGTCCATCAGAGTCTGGGGAGTGGGCAGAGACAATGGACGGTATGTATCTAAATATGGAAATTTAAAATGTCTTTGTTAGCAGTTTGTTGTAATATGTGTTTTTTTAAAAAACATAATAATTAAAATGATGGTAAAGCTTATAAGATACAATTGAGTGAACATCACTGTAATACTTCAATTTCAATTTCATTTCTTTTTTTTTCCCCAAACAACCACAGGGAGAGGTAATATATTGTATTATGTGTGTATACTTGTATGTAGATAGATGTTTGTTTCTTCAGTCACACCTTGTGACATTTGCTGAAGAATTTATGGTTTCTCTACATTTGGAATAAAATGATATAAAAATGGTTATGTATTATAGCACAAACAAATTGTATTAAAGATGTACAGCACAAACAATGTGATATATGCAATAGTGTTCAACAGTGTCACTGGTGTGTATGGCCTCTGTTCTCTGGTAACAATTAAAAGCAGTAGTTGTCGAGGCATTTGGTGTAAATTTTCTTTAAATTCTTTGTTAATTCAAATGTTTTTGCACCACTTAAAATTTTTGCAAAAAGCTGTATAATTAGTAGGAGTTTTTTTAATTATGTCAGCTATGTTTGATTTAATTTTGCAGAGATTTTGCTTATGTTGCTCGTGATAAGACAACAAGGAAGCATATGTGTCATGTGTTTCGATGTGACACCCCGGCTCGACACATTGCCAACACTCTGAGAGACATCTGCAAGAAGATCATGTTGGAGCGACACTTGGAACAGAATGCAGTGGTTCAGCGACTTAGTCGGCCCACCGACCTCCCAAACCTGGACAAATCTAATGGACAGACAAACGGACAAAAGCTGTCCTTTCAGAGCTTGTATAGCAGTAAGTCATGGAACAAGCAAAACTGTCACTCCTATCTGTAAATCTATGTTTATAGCTTTAGTGGAGTAACTATAATTGTGGTTGGCTACAAATTATATACATTATTTATATACATATCATGTATATGCATAATTGCATTAAAAAATTGAATGTTCCTGAAAATAAATTCACAGTCCTCTGTGAAATTTTTAAAGGAGCTTTTAGAATCTGAATTTAGTCAACTTAAGTTAGCTTTAATATGATATTTAGATAATGAAGTTATATTGTAACATATGCAAATTGTGTAACAATAATGTCTTCGTAGGTATTTCATTTCCTACCCCAATGGAGGAACCTAAGAAAATCATCCGCTGTCACTATCTTGGACGTGAAATGGTCTCTAAGCCAACAGGTAAAAATTGCTGTCAGAATTTTACAATAAAAGTTTCTGTAGGATTCAAGGAATATCACTTTTTCTTCAACTATGAATTACAGTTCACAATTTCGTTTTATGATTTTTAAAGAAAATATTTAACTAATCTTGATAAGAATATCCATAATTAGCTCTTGGTTGGTCTTGTAGGGACTGATGTACTAAACAATGCCATCGAGTCTCTCTACAGTCGGATCCCACCAGAAAAATGGATCTTTGTTGATGTAGCAATAGCTCCCTCCACTCTCACTATAACAGAACATGGGGTAATTGTCAGAGGGTACTAAACCTGGTATCTTAAGGTAGTCCGATCCTCAGGTTCTGAAAATCAGCTTTTCAGTAATTGAAAATTATCACAAAAATGTCTTGGATTTTGCAGAACAACGTGTATTTACCCATGGTATTTCTTCAAAATTCATCAGTAAAGTTAATCAAATTATAAAGGGAAAATTATCAAATCTCAAATATATTTTTAGTAAATGCGAATAAAAGCACCAGCTATGGATTTTCTGATTGAAAACTGATCAACAAATATATTTTTGGTTTAAAAATGATTGGTATCCAGGCATTTGGAAAAAATTAAATGTTTTGCACACTTATACAGTATTTTAGTTCTTCTATTTATTTCAATTGTTATAAAATACATAGTGTAAAACGTACGTGTGTATTATCATTGCAAGACATCCCAGATCACTTCTAATTTCATATCATGCTCATAAGCATTGGGAACTAATGCTAGATTAGAGGAAATTTGATTTCTCTAAAAATGAATTTATTTTTGTACCTTTGTGGGGTACAATGTCAACTTTTCATAATATTATTTCTAAGACTTCAAAGAACCTTAAATCATATTGAGATGCATAAAAGGAAATTGTTGCGAGAAAATATTTCAATTTCAAGCTTCATTTTGAGACTTTTTAAATTAAATAATAGATTTAAGAGTTATCATTCCTATCTGAGGATCGGATATCCTTAATAGCTTGTCTGGTTCTAATAGATATTTGACAGTCATTACTCAGGACAGAAACTCAATGAGTGTTGTATTTTGTAGAAACCAGAGAACAGAATAGATGACTGTCGCATTCGATATCTGTCATTCATGGGAATAGCCATGGAGAATGCCAAGTAAGTGTTGAACCAGTATACATTATCCTCCCCCCCCCCCCCCCCCCACACACACACACACAAAAGCAGCACTCAGTAGAAAATTGGAAAAGGGCATATTTATTAGGTCTTCCTGCTTTGTAGTATTTATTTTTCCTCAGTCAAAGGGTATCTTTCCTGCAAGATGATTGTAGGGTTTTTTTCAGATCATAGGTGTGCTTTTTGTGAAAATGGCCAGTGTTAAGGACTTGCAGTAGCATGAGAATATACCTTTGATATTGTGTTAGGACATTGTTGAAGGCCACGGTTGGGTTCAAGGTCATAGCTAATCATTCTATAGAGCACAACGGTCTTGAATAATAATGTGTCCCTACATGGGGAAAGCTTATGTAAAAATTTAATATAGGAACTATAAATACAAGTTGGTGATTTTAGTCACCACTTCATCTTTCTGGGGCATCATCGTGCTTCCCTTACATTTGATGGTAACATTGTTTTCTTCATGGAAAAGAATTAACATGAAAGCTTAAATGCATTTAAGCTTAAGCTTAGTCAATACAATATTTTTTATACATGAGATGTTCAGGGTTGCCCTGGAAATACCAGTGGTGGTATTTACCAGTGTGGAATAAGCTATAATATCATTTCCCAGTTATTCCCGAAAATTACCAGTATTTCCCACTGTGGTCTTTTTTTGGGGGCCAAACCTGGAGATATTTGTACTTGAATATGAAACTTATCAGTTTGTTTAGTGGTTTATTCTATATATTAAAATGTCTAGGACTTAGTAGTTCATAACTCACTGATGGTGGTATGTTCATGAAGAGAGATAACTTGTACTTTGACATTGTTACAGATTGGGTGGCTTCATTATACATGGGGCTGAGGACCAGTTTTATGCCCATGTGTTCCACTGTGAGCCATCAGCTGGACCTCTGTGTAAAACTATAGAGGCAGCTTGTAAGGTAGGGTTCTTTGTGATTTAGTTTTGATTACTTATATTTGAAAAACACTAAACTTATTACATGTATATCTTTATCTTTTTCTGAACACAGTCCTTCCTGCTTGTTAACAAAGTACTTAATTGTCTTTGAAACTCATGCATATAAAAACATGTATAGCTACTCTTTTTTTTTATACCTTCACTTGAAAAGTGAGGGGGTGTTATATAGTGATGGGGGTGTTCGCTACAATTCCTTACGTCCATCTGTTACACTTTGTCATTTTACTCATCTAGGAGCTGGGGGTATCATTTTGTGAGCTCAGTGCTCACAGTACCTCTAGTTTATTCTTTTTTCCTTTGTTGATCATACATTGAAATATATATGTTTAAAAATCTCTCTTAATGTAATCCATATACATGTAGAAGATTAATATGATGAATCTGATGACATCTAAAAAAAATGTGAAATCAATATCCCTTGTCCATGGTTTAAAATCCTAAGGAGGGGCAAAGTTGATTGTTGAGAATGTTACGATACAAGTCATGATATGGGTGGCCTATAGTTAAAAACTATAGATATTTGATTGTCAGTGTATAGCAAAAACTTGTGAAAGGACATTCATGAAATATTAATGTAATTAATTTATTTTCCAGCTACGGTTCCAGAAATATTTAGATGCACATGGAATTCAGACCCCAACTCCAACACAGAAAAACAAGGTGTGTTTAAAATGAACATTTCTTTGTTTTGTTTTATATATTGTGGTGACCTGTTTTTTTTTATCAGTCACATTCTTTTTGTTGACATCTTTTATAATATCATCAATATTAAAACAAGATATATGGTATTTGGTTTTGTGATTTTTTTTACCTTTTGTATTAATTTTGTGGCTATTCTTATTGTAATTTTTCTTCTTTTATGATTCTGTTTTTTTACTTATTATCCTTTGTTGTCTTTATCTTGGCATATGGTATTTGATTTGCATGTCATTTTGTTGTGGTCTGTAGTTGGAGAATATAGGGGCAACCTTCAAAGCAGGGATGAAGGCCAGTGCAGAGGGGGTACAGTCGGGGGTCAAGGCCAGTCTACATGGAGTTCAGTCTGTGTTCAGTTTACTTAAAAGTAAAGTCAAATCTGACCATACGTGATGACCTTTATCACATTTGTAGGTACACAAACTTATAGGATATGAAATACAGTTGAACTTTGGTATCTCGAACACTGATATCTCAAATACCATGGATATGTCAAAGTGATTTGGAAGTCCCAATCGCTTATTCCTTGAGTATTTTACCCTGGATATCTGGAACCCTCAAATATCTCGAAGTATTTTCTTGGTCCCATCTAGTTCGAGATAATGAGGTTTGACTATATTAAGCTTTCTTGTAATATTTTAACATACCGTTTAAGGTTTATAATGACAACAAAAATTCTGCATCTTGAATTATTGTTAAGAGGAATTTAAATACCATGTAAGCAGAATTTTTAGCAAGGATTCAATTTTGGCATTACTAGTGAGGGTGTTGAGATTACTAAAATTGAATATCGCTAACAATACATTCCATATCAATGGTAATAGCTGTCTATCTCCACATTATAAAATTGTTAAAATTGCTTCTCGCTAAAATATATTTATAAATTTTTAAGGATAAATTGCTAAAATTACGTCCTGCTGAAAATTCCACTTATATAGCATTATTTTCCTTGAGTTCAAACAATTTCTATTATTGTGTCATTATATTACATATTGTTGTAAAATGTGTATTGAAATCAAACAAGGAAAAAGCTGGAAACTTTTAATTCCAAATATGCTTCATATTTTGTAGACAGGAGTAAAAAGAACAGGTATATCCTGAGGATTACCAACACTAAGTACATAATTAATCTCTGTGTGATTTGTTTATATTTTCCAGAGTTTTGGTGCTTGCTTTCGACACAGTGTTCAGAGCTTTGTGGAGACCTTGAAGTCCCCTGTCAAGTAAGTCTACAAGCAAGAAATGGTATCCAACAGAATGCTTGCAAAGAAGACAAATAATGCTGATCTACCATTCGTAACTAATAACTACATTAGAACTGTTGTGTTTGATGGTGTTCATTCAAAAGAATAAATCCAGCATTATAAATTATTGTGTAAGGTGATATGCAAACTGTCTGTACTTGCTTGTGAATATTTTGTAGTGTTTTTTGGATAGGAGACAGTATAAAATTTAACATAATTTTTTGCATACAGTATTTACCAATGAATCTCCTGTTTTCCTGTTGAAGATATTTGAAAATCTGATTGTTCCTTGGTACATGAAGATTTTTAGGGACTCTGTCTAAGCAAGTTTTACCAAATATGAAAATCATAAACCTAGGCTGGAATCTTGAAATGACTGGCAATGTAGAAAAGCTTGCTGTGAGAATATTTTAACACTGCATTCCACATTTTTGTAATTGTACGTAAAAGTTTGTACATGTACTAATACTTGTAAGCTTTAATTTTGTATGATATTTTTATACATGTAAATGTCTGCCAAATCTTTGTTCTGTTAATGGTTGAATTTTATACTAAATTTTTATAGCCTCTGTTTTGATTTGTTTTTCAATCCTTGCCTTTGTTATCAAGCAGGTATATATACATATAGTTGTGTTATTTTTGTTTTTAAAAGTTATCAAAACCACCATTAAAAGGGGTAGTTAGGTTGTTTTTGCAAAACTTTGAGGACCAGTTTAATATGAGCTAATGTGATATTGGTATGGGCATTTGTACTTATTTGTATGCTATGTATACAAGTTCAATTTATTTCTTCCAGTGTGTTTTAATTTGTACATGGCTTATACATTATTAGTTTGTAGAATGGTATTTAATACATTTAATTATGAGTTGATTTACTGCTAACATGCTACTTTTTTAAACCTATGCCAGTTTATATACTCATTTGATATTTTTTATCCTGATGTTGCTTTTACCAATGATTTGCCATATTATTGTTTTCCGACTTATACCCATGTGCAATATCAAGTGTTTTCAGGTGTAACAGCCATTTTACAGTGTAAGAACACTTATTGTGACAGTTTAATTCATTGATTTGTTTGATTGTCTTGTTTTGCTGAAATACTTATGTTCTATGCATTTCTGTGAATCCATCTGTGATGAGGAACTTGTACTTTTCTATAGACTTGAATTTATCAAGAGTTATTTCCCGTTGGTTGTCATACAGGAGGTCACCATGCTTGGATGTCACTGAAGTGTAGAAAAGATTGATTTTTCTGATGAATTTGCCTTAATTAAAGTCTCCTATAATTCATGATTATTTTTATATTGTTAAGATTTTTGCCATATATCATTTATTCTTGCTATACATGTTTTAAATTTGATCAATCAAAAAAGAAAATTCCCAAGGTTGACCTCCAAACATGCTGGCCAAGGGGAATAACTTTGACAGAAAACATGGTATACTTTCTAAATTACTTGAATTTTTCAAAGAAATTTTATTGCAACAGATATTCAAAAATTCCAAAAATTTTTCTCCAAAAATGTGACAAAAATCAGTTGTTATTATTATATAATGCATATTTTTTGCTTTATTTTAGAGGATGTTAGTCAGGGCTATTTTAGGCTTATATTTAAACCCCCTGGGAAAAATATAAGAAATTGCATTAAATTTGACAGCTCAAACAGAAAAATACCATTTCATATTTTAAAGATGGATCTGTTTGGTAATCTGTTTACTACTCAGCCTCCTTGATCTTTTAAATCCAAGTCAATCAAGGTAGATAGATATTCAGATTTAGTTTCATTCAAGTCATCCTGCAAATACAGTAAAACTCGATATAGCAAATTCCCTTCACTATATACATAATGAGTAATAACCTATAATGAATTTGTTTTAAAGCATAAATAGCAAATTCTCAATATACATATTTTCTTTTTCAAGTATAACTTTCAAATATGTTAAGAGAAGTATTAAATACAAAACTTACCTTGGAGAAGTAAAATTTTCCGATGATTTAAATTTTAGATAAAAAGTACAAAAAAATGTCGAATCAGTATTTTGAGATTTTTAATATATTGTTGTAAAAGGATGTAAATTTCACTATTTTTAACCTCTACAGGACACAGAATCTATTTGCTATGTCTGTAAATTCTTCATATTAAAGATAAGATAAAGTTTTGCAAGGAATTGTTATGAATTTTTGCCATGGATCCCAAATACTTGACTATATCCATTAATTTGCTATACATGTATCTATAAATTTGCTACATCAGTAAATTTTCTATATCCATGTTCGTACTATCAAGTTTTACTGTAAAGGCTGTTGCCATCTTTTCCCTACAATGACACTGATGGGTGACAAGGTTGTGTTTTATTTTTTTTAAATGGTATCTTTTAATGACTAGAAAATCAAAATATTACTGTTATTAAAATTTGTTTTTATTTTTAAAATTTATATTAATGTTGTTTCCTAATACTGAGGTTTTTTTTTTATTTGCAACCAGTTTTTCTTAGATTTTATGCAAGATCATGCTATCACAATGTTGTATAGAATGTATGTTTATACTATTGGATGAATGTGTCATTCAGAATGTAATAGTATCTCTTTTATTATTCTCACAAATCTAACCTAGAAATTAAGTCCTGTTAAGTATATTGACTGGAATTTGAACATATTTTGTAAACTTCCTTTGGAAATCTGTCAAGCATTAGGAAAAATTTTAACACTGTCGTTGGATACTTGGCATTTTAGACTTTATCTCTTTATATAAATTGTATAAATGATTATGTAGTCAAAGGTGACAATTGTGTACATTAATTACTAAATCAAATAATTGTTATTGTATATTAATCTTTTAATATTTGTTTCAGCATAATAGAACCTATCTACAAATTATTATCCATAAATGAAGATTTTTTGTGCACAAACTACAATTAATACATTTTGATTAAACCAATCTTCTTGGTTTCTCTGGAAATATTTTGGACTTTTGACTTTGAGGGGGAATCTTCAAACTGTTTGTAATTCTGTATATAATCAAATTATTTTGCCATATATTGGCATATACATTGTATATTACTGTGAGTGTGATGATTGATATGTACAGTGTACGTTGTTGATTTATGGTACAGTCAAACCTCATTATTAAGGAATCCAATAATTTGGATGCTTCACCTTCAGGACAAAATTTGTGGAGAACAGAATTTACATTTATATTCATCAATTATCCAAACTATGTTTCAGTAATCCGGAACACTTCACTAATCTGGATGATTTGCTGGGAAAGTCCAGTAGCTGGATTAATGAGGTTTGACTGTATTATACATGTAAACTACTGTCTGTTAAATTTCCTGTTGTGGTTGTGATGCTGTTCTACATTTAACATTAATCAAGCTTTTTAAAAAAGGCATCAAAAATAAGAAAGAATTGTAATATATATACAAGGAGTGGATGTGTTGTATAAAATTAAGTCGTAAGGAGCAAGGATGAAACTATGTAACTATTGAATTAATTTATCTGCATCTCAAATTAAGCATGTTACTGGATTCTTTCCAACAAAAACTGTATACTTGTCACATTGTGGTTAAGAAGTGATGAGCTGCTAATTTTCATCCACTCTACAATAGTATTGAACATATGTTTATACAAATGTAGTAGACAAAACAAGATTGAAAAACATTGTTTAGTCCACTCATTTGCAGTTGGTTTCAGTTGTTAATGTATTTTCTGACATTGCAAATAATAATAATAAAGCATGATATTGCTAAAAAGATTTAGATTGTCTGTGCATTGACTCATAAATAGGAGACTTCATAATTCTATAATCATTTATACCCAAAACCTGCCACTGTCTATTATAACAGTGATAATAGACTGCAAGTTTTACTTGGATGAACTTGAATATTCAAAACTGCAACACTTTTGGGTAATATGTATAAAAAAGAATAGCAATACTTTGTTTTCTTTATATGAAATCACATAGCGTAGGCTGCCTTTACATTTTACTTAGGCAAACGTTACAGTACATAATACTCCATTTTAGGTAGATATATCTGTACAGTAAATTTTATAAAAGTGCATGTTCTTAAAAATTAATTTGGAGTTTACAACATTTTAGAGGTCTCAAATAACTTGTCTTTTGCTCATTTGTACAAAAACAGAGAAGAAATAAAAATCCAAGAAACCCTGTCTGTTAAATTGCAATTGTAAAATGTAAACATTAGGTGGACTACTCACCATACAGGCTTAGCCACAGTGTTTATGCAGTTATGAAGCATGTTAAGCAACTATAGCTATATTGATATGAAAGCATCCTCAGGTAGTATGCAAGTTTGTTCAAATCACAACCCCCGGGGGGTAGGGTGGGGCCACAGTGGGGGATCAAAGTTTTACATAGAAGTCTATATAGGAAAAAATCTCAAATACAGAAAACCCATTATTAGTCATAAAGTTTGTTCAAATCATGACCCCTAGGGGTAGGATGTAGCCACATTTTTAAAAATCTTCTCTTCAATAACAGCAAAGCCATCACTAGTCAAATGATTATGGAAGCATTCTCAGTTAAGATTAAAGTTTGTTCAAATCATGACACCTGGGGGTAGGATGGGGCTACAACAGGGATCAAATTTTTACGTAGGAATATGTAGGAGAAAAAATTTGTTAATGAGAACGGCAGGGCCATATTGACTCAGGTGAGCATTATGGCCCATGTGCCTCATGTTATTCATTTATTGATGTCATACATTTAGTCCATTCTGGATGTGTAGAGTTCTGTTGTCATGGTGACACATAACAAGACATGACAATATAATAAATTACCTTTTATTTCTATCAATAACAGAAAAACAATACATATTCACTTAGATATCACAGATGTGTATAAATATGTTATATACAACAACAAAAGATAACCATAGCAGCCCTGAGGCCTGGCAGAAAAAGGAACAATTGCACTAATATTGTCTAAGGCTAAAAAAGTCTGTGCACTTTACATAAATATTGGCTAATCTCAGTTTATACATTCATAAAATAAAAGCAACACATTATATGGCACTTCACGTTTCTCAGCACTGTACATTGACATTGCACAATTGATTTCTCCTGGGTGACTGGACGTGATTCGATAACTTTCTAAATACCTTTTAGTAATTAATGGAAATATGAAAAAGATGTATTGATTTAATCTCCTTAATAAGGTCACATTACTGGAATAACAAAATTTATACAAATGGAATTGTTTAAACGTAAGTGATTGCTAGGCTCCCTAAGATTAAATATTCAAAGTCAGAGATGCACACGAACAATAATATATTAAGTACCAGGTATTGAAAATGATTTTCCAGTCAACACAAAGGCACACATAACCACACTGAATTTTAAAAGAACAATGTTTTGACATGAACAATGCATTCTCAGTGAAAGCTCAAAACATTCTGGTCAATTAAAAATGAACCTGACAGTGAAAAAAGCATGCCTTAAACCAACATTAATTTAAAACCTTGATAAAGTTGTTTGTGCTGACTGATTGTGTCTGATAATTATGATATGACAGGTGCTCTTGCATTAAGAGCTGGTCTCCTGCAGTGTATGCACAGAAGTGGCTTTGTAACAAGGACAGGTAATAATGTATCATTTTAACATGCTGCAATATGAATGCACTACAATGCTTAACTATTCCTCACATAACTATACACCCTATGTATGAAGTAGATGAACAGTCTGGATAGGATCATGCAAGGTCAGGGTTTTCCTGTGGGCTACAAAGCTTACCTGGTCTTCTTAGACTTCTTGTGCTTTTTACGACTGTTGTGAAAGGAAATTATTTTATGAATGCATTTAAATTTTCAAATTGATGAAAAAATTCAGAAAATTGTAGAATTCAGTAAATATGAACAAGTATCATAAGGCAGAAAATGGAAAGCTTCATGAATAGTGAAAGCAGACAGTTAAAAGTGTAAGGAATGTAGCACTGATGCAATGCTTCCAGAATTTATAAAAATATAACATAGTTCATTATTCAAGACAAAGTATTTTTACAAATATGACAGATCACTATATTATACAAATTAAGGTACATTTTCAGTTGCAAGCCATTTGAAAGAGCTTATCATTAACAATGCAGCTTTGGTTTTCATGCACAATATTTTTTATTACCTGACCATGCTTGTTACTTTTGGCTGTGAAAATCACAAAATTAATTAGTGAACATTGTGAAAAACAGATTTAGCACAAATATGTTATTACACATAAAATAAATTGTGCATCTTAGTGTAACAAAAATACCAGTACACTTCACAATTTTAACACAAAGACGTACATTTTCATGTAAAACAGTGAGACAGAAACATATCAACTCTGGTGACTGCTGAACGTACCCAATAGCACCATAAAACAGGTAGAAATATCATAATACTGACTAGTTCACAATTATTGCAAGAACGTTTTTGTACCCCATGTTATTTAATTAACAAGAAATAAGGATTTCAGTGACCGATACATAAACTTTTGGTTAAAAATGGCCTTTTGATAGCCAAGACAAATACGATTACATTTACATACAAATTAAAACATGACAATTGCAAAGTTCATGCACATAAAAGCAGACTGTGATTTGTAATTAACCGTGAGACAACCACATAAACATCATCCAACAGAAAAGTATTCACCTGAATGGGGCTGGATGTTTGACGATTTTCAGGTGCTCTGCTACAAGCACTTTATCTCTCCTCACTGATGATTCTCTTTTGGAGGCATCCTTATAAAGTCGTGTCCCCACGGCAATCCCGCTGGGGCGGGGCAAGCTGCGGCGAGCCTGGAGAGGGGAGTGTATGTAACTGCGGACAGGACTTGTAGCATGAGGGGCAGATATAGCACTACGAGGGGGCAGCTTCTGTTCTGATCTCCTGGAGCGCCTTGTCAGAAGCTTCTCTGACTTTGTATGTCCGTTAACAAGGTTACTAGCCTCCCCATTCTCATGGTCGCCCTCTATCACTTGCGTCTTGTTTCGTTTCTTACCACTTAGTAGTCCTTTAGCTTGAGCTCTGGCAAGAACATCTTTGGCTGCTTCCTTAGAGTCTTCAGGCTGTTCAACAAAATTTACAGCTTAAAGGTAAAAATAATGATCATTTAAAAGTATTGCATAATTTTCAAAAAGATTAAAAAAAATATGTTTTTTAATCAACTGTAATGACTACATACCTCTCTGGTTACAACAGCAATGAAGCAGCCACTTGTTTTTTCTGTAGGTCGAAATTTGATAAACTTCCCATGAATTCCTATTTTATTGTCTATGGCCTCACTAGAGAAAGGAATGACAGGGGGAACGACTCTGTATGGGTACTTTCTTTGCTGTACCAAATTAATATACTCCACAGCCTTTGATACAACATTTTCATTCTCAACATCATGAATGGAGCGGGTGGTGTACACTACAGCTTGTACTTTTGAAACTGAAAAAAAAAAATTGTTTATATCAACAATATAACTCAGACCCTGATAACCATTTTCTAAAAAAGATGATTTTTCTTTTAATGCATCACAGAATGCTAAGAAATTACCGGTATATACTTACATTTTAGGGCATGTTTTAGAAGCTCTGTATGTTTCGCTGTCAGATCTCCAAGTTTGCTTAGGCCTGTATCTCCAATAGATAAATCTTTCAAAATTTTCATATCTGCAAAACCCAGAAAAAAAAACAAGTCATTACTGTCATCTTAAAAAAAAGCACAGTGTTACTGTCTGTATATTTCCCAAATATATTATAAAATCCATGTAATATACAGTATACTAACCTTCGCCCTCATTGACAATAAAGTCTATTGGATTGGCAATGCCTGATTTACTGCAGTCTGCAGTGATGAGAATGACTTTAGCATTCTTAAATCTGTTATCATCAGGTTCTATATCCAGGAAGTTCTCCGTCATTACTTTAACACCTATAAATTTTATCAATAAGGTATTATAGTGTCTAGTGTTCAGAACTCCCAATTATGGTAAATTTTACAAAAGTATTTACCAATTCTACAAATACTATATCACTATAGCCAAATAAAAAATGTACACATATTAATAAACAAAACAACTACAGGCATACATTTGATTTTGTTGAACACTGTGATCTTTGTCCCGACATTATACTGCTATGTTAAATTACTGAGCAATAATAAAATTTATATAGCAAACTTTTGAATTTATTTTTACAAAGTGTTGTATGGATACAAAATGAAATTTTGTACATACAGTACACTTTTATTTACTCCTTGTGAAATAAATTTTTGTTTGTTTTCATGTTGACATGGAATTGGTTCCATTATATTGGGTGGGAAAATAATTCTTGGCAAACAGATAATGCAAGGCAAATGAATAGATTCCTGTGTTGAATTTATTTAGATCTATCAGACTTATACAAATTACAGTAGAATTTTCAGTTGGTTTGTACTCTTGTTTACACTGACCAAATACACACCACAAAATATCCTTCTTTCCTAACTTTTTTTACTTTTATTAATCTGTACAATAAGAGGAAGAAAAGTTGCCTGAAAACTTCAGAATTATACGTATCTCTATGCACTTTTTTCAGTATTAAGTCTTGTACTTAGGCATAGATCATATTCCAAACATTTGCTCAAATCAGTCATAAATTGCTAAAATATTTTCAAACAAAATTCATGATTAAGAACACCTATCTAATTTCTCTGCACTGTTTTCACAAAGAACTGGCACTGCATAAGTACAGATTGAGAAGCTTTTATAATGGTTAGAGAAGTTATTGCATGCCAATGAGCAAACAAAAATTGATGAAATTGATTTATAGCAGGGGAATAAACTTATTTTATACTGTGTTAACCAGAAAATTACACATCTTCAATTCTCAACAACTTGAAAGATAATTTATTGAAAATTCGAGTGTTTTGTCAACAGTGGTTTTAAGGAGATAATTTACAGGCTGAAGGTCAGCGATATATTACTAAATACGGACATCTATCACGGTCAATTATATGAAGATGAACTATCAAAAATTGCTGAGGAGCAGGATGTCTTAAATAAGACCAAAAGCTGGGAACAAAGTGTGAACTGAGCCAGCTGACATTGCTGGTTAATGTCTTCTCCAATACCCCTATTGACATTAGTGAATGATATATGTAATTCTGATTCTCACTACCAATTAGGTAGGCAATTACATGATCAATCATGTGCATTTGTCTCTGCTGGCTAATAAACCTGACAATCAATTAGGACCAAAACAACTGATAAGGGTGCAGGGATGGAGCTCTTTGATTTTTCTCCTGTTTATCACGTAGTCTACTGTGTTACCTGGACAGCAAGACCATGTGCACTAACACAATAATAGATTCACTATTTATAACTATCAAATGGGAGACTTTTTCTGGCTCCCATGATAAAAATCAAGTAATTAAGCAAGCCTGATACATTACTGATGAAGGGTCATTACAACCTTAAAGAGGTCAGGGTAGAAAAAGTTAATTAATTATTAATCTCATGTCTATCCTTCTATTGGAATATACTTCTTCCTGGGGGAGTATTGATCTTTTTTTAATTCAGCTTCAACAATTTTTTTTGAATTTATGATAAATAAACAACGAACTCAAAATCTGAATGTTTTGAATGCCAATAAAATCTATATTCTTTGAAGTAATATTTTCATGGAGGAAAGGTGTTAAATATTTGGATACAAAATAGATTCAGGTTTTAAACTTAATTCACATTTCCTTACTTATTTTTTTCCCTACAAAAAAAGCAATTGAAACCTTCTAAAATATATTTCACAAAAACAATCCTTTTGGGACCAGTGGTGTCCAGATTAGAAAGTTTTAATGTACTCATTTAACTGGGATTTTATCAAAAATATACGTATACCACAGAATTCTTTATATATATATATTTTGTACAAGGACTTCTTTGTTAAAATAGAAATAAATATATATAAATGATCAAGCTGACCTTTAACCCCAAGTTTCTCCATGTTGTCCCTGACTTCTGTGGGATTTTTAGCACCAAATGCCCAGATATGGCTATGGTTGTCTGCCTCTAACAGACTGGCAATGTGAGCAGTGGTCATTCCAGATCCAACATTGACATGAATGATGTCCGCATCCTCCCCAACCAAGTACTTCACAGAATGGGGGGCAATACTGCTAGACTTATCCTGAAGGACAGCAGATTCATTGGGTAAACTGATATAGTTTGGTGCAATATAACAGAACAGAATTTGGTTAAATAGACATCATTTAATTATCTGCCAACTAAAACTTCACCCAACTATACTATGTTGCCCTGCAAAAGAGCAGTACTGTAATTATCGTTAGAGGTTTTCTGGACAACTATTCTTTGGTCCTTGCCTACCTGCAGGACTAACTTTCCTGTTGTAACAAGGTAATTCTGGACCAGGTCATTGACACACTCTGGAGAGAACATCAATACATCATGACACAAGGAGTCCACGCAGAACATCTTCCCTTCCAAAGCATCATCAGAACTCACTAATCTGTAGTGATCATCCTTTAAGGCATCTAGCACCTCAGACATACTGAAATACAAGAGAATCTCTTTAGTATATTTTTTCTTAAAGAATATAAATTATACAGTATTATGATTTATTCCTTATTTAAATCTTAACTAATTTGTAGGCACTGTAACATTATGATAATTTATGGACTGTTTTTACGATTGTCTTTTGTGATATTTTGCTAACTAATTTTGCATGTGCAAGAAATTGAACAATTCTGTGATGCATCTCCATGACATTTCTGTAGTCCATTGTAACAGCAAACAGGATAATCCATAAGAAGTTCAGATGTTGAAAAACTTAGTAAGACCTTTATGTGTTGAAGGTATTATAAGAAACTTGAGATTTCAATTTACATTGCAAATGAACACCCTAAGCCACTTTTCTCTGGTCAAATATTAGGAAGGCCTTTAAAGTAAAGATCTAATTATAAAAATATTGACATTTGAAGCTACTTTGTGAATATAGAAGTTTATACATACAGTGAAACAACAGTGGTGTTTTAAAGGGTCAGCAGAAAATCTATTCTTAAGTTTTTAATCAAAATATGATTTGAATTTTTTCTTAAAATCAATATCCAACATTCAGGACTCTGCAGGATTCAATGTTTTAATGGTTTGAGTTCTAACTGTCCCTGGTAATTGATTCTTGGCCATCTAGATGCCAGTAAAACTGAGAACAAGAAGAGTTGAAGGTCACTGGCTTACTTTGACCTTCTGTGGTTGACCCAGCCATACACTGGCATTGTGCTTCTTAGCTCCTCTTTGCTCCTCACTGTGTCTGGGAGAAGATGGTCCAAAGAGGGGGCCTCGGCCTTAATTCTGTGTCGGGCCAGAGCAGCATTTAGGTGGGTCTTACATTCCAGAATGGCCTGTTCTATCTCTAGGAGGTCAGGAAGGGTTGTTTCTCCAGGAAGGGGGGTTCTCTGTTGAAACTTTCGACCTTGAAAATCACACAGCATCACCATCACAAGGCCACTGTCCTCAACAAACTGTAAATAGTAACACCTTAATATAAATATTTAGTAACCTAAGTTCATGCCTATGAATAATGAGGCTAGTTTTGTGGATAATGACAAGGGTGAAGAAAAATGTTATAGGTATACTCTCACAGTTCCTAACTTTATGATCAGAGATAAAATCTCCTTGTATTATAGCATTTTATTTGAAATGTTTGTTCCTTATCAAAATCAATGTAAATTTTTGTTTACATTGATATCTCGAGAAAGATTATGCAAACTTCCATATAATAAAATTGAAAACATGCATGATAAATGCTGTATTGATAATGGTTTGATGTGGGTAAATGTCCTGAAGTAAACGCCTCTATAACATGACAATGATAACAGAGTCCTCCTTGATATTTCTACGACTGTTCATTGATCTCTCTTTTATATCAGTCAAATCATAATACCTCAAATATCTACAGAAGTGTTGCTATGAAAATCATGTTCAATATTGCATTTTTCACCAGGCATTTCAGATCCCTGACTTTGTAATCATATTATTTTTTCATCTCTCTCACTGGCTCTAGGGTCAATCATGAGATACCTGACTGGTGCAGCTAGCAAACACCATTTAGTAATGGTTTGCTCTTATCAACCAAGGTTTTGTATTGTATTATTAAAGTTAAAAATTGATTTTACTTTTCATGTGGTGTCACATTGATATTTCAAGTTCTTTTGAAATCTGTTAATGATTGTAACATTCATTAACTATCTCACTGGGTATTGATTGATTTCTTTCGAATGACATTCACTGAATGTATCTAAAATTAAAAATAGAATTGATTACTTCCTAACAGTCACATGCAGTAGTTTGTTAATTTTTGGCCCCTTTTGCAGCACCAACTTTCCTTATCTTATATTGGAAAAACTATTTGTTATTACAAATGTTCAAACAAGTTTTCTATTAAAACACTTCCCTTAACTACTGTTTTACAAGGTTCTCCATTTACAAACCACATTAAACTTTGTTAGCTTTTTAGCAGTGCCATTATTTCAGAATCCCCAGGCATTTAGACCTTTTTCTGAAAGCATTAGTTCGTCAATAATTTTTCTAATGCAATCACATTACCTTGCATAATTAGAGTGTGAATGAACAGATAAATCAGTTTGGATTTAACCTAGTATATGACTTAAATTAATTATGACTACATTGAATATAGTATGTACCAAAAATTACTCACAATAAACATCCAATACATTAGTCATGTTACATATTAATTATCTTTGCATCTCATAGGTGAAATGAATTTGTGTATTAGGGAAAAATGATGAAAAAAGCAGATTCTGCATATATAACCTGATTTTGGAAACCAACACAAAGGGGCTTAATTAATGAAAGTTAAATTACCACAACCAATGTTAAGAGTGAATTAAGAAACTGTGAAGAAGTGAATTAAGAAACTGGTGCTTTCTTTGTGAGACTATCCATTTTATGTATATCAACATGTCCCTTTAATAGAACTATATATAGGTCTAAAAAGGTGTAAATAAGAAACTCCAGATTTCAATAATTATTTCCCTTCACTCAATTTGTTTTTCTTTTAAAAAATATTCTCTCTCTCTCTCTCTCTCTATATATATATATATTCCAGTAGTGATTAAAGCTTCACATATTAATGATAGAAAACAGCAGAGTATATGTAACAAGTCGTACCTCTGGAAAGGTAGAGAAGAAAGCGCAGTCCTGGAGTATCTCTTCAAACAATAGCTGATCTGTAAAACATAAGGAATGTAATCTAACTAATAGACAAAATCCAAAATGAAAACTTCCTGATTCATATAATAAGCATGCATGTGCAAACTTTTACATGTTTCATAATAGGTTATTGTTTCCCCAAAAGTAAAACAGGTAATAAAAAATTACCCTAAATCATCTTTTAAAAAAACAAAATTGGTCAAATATTTATAACCTGTGGCCAGGAGTGTTTGTTTTTTTTTTCAACTTTCCCCTCCTTTTCAATTACAAAATTTCAGCTTGAAGTGAGCAATAGTGACAAGGCTTCCAGCAGGTTTATAATAAACCAACAGTGGGACCTTAGAACAATAAGAACACAAAACATTGTTTCCCAAAACACAGAGCCCTTGACTCGATCTGCCCTGGTTGATAGTTGGGTTTGCAATATCTTTGGGCCACAGTGTTTAAATTGCAACTCTTGTGGGGTCTTTGGGTCCCAAATATAAATCTTTATTTCACTCCACACATTAAAATATATGAAATATATTTATAAACATAACATATAAAAATGTGAAGGCTTTCTGGATTTTCTATCATTATAAATGTCAAGAAGTTCTCACTAGGAAGTGATCCTGGACGCTAATATTTCTGGAGACACAACTTGTAGATTATACCTATCACTTTCAAAGAAGTTCATGGAGTATTGTGCAAACACTTCGATGGGAAAGCTATTTCAATTATCATTCATTGGGAGGATTATTCTATTGTAGTGGTATCAGCATGCTGACCAAACTGTAGGTCATCTTCCAGTGCACTGCAACCTTTCAGCTGGCCATTCGGTCACTGCTGTATAGGTGGGAATTTTATCACTGGTTGCTGGTGGTGAATTTGACAGTTGATTCCTTTTTTGTGGGAAACTTTATTACTGCCTTAAACTCAAAATTTGAGTTTGCCATCATGCTTAAGAGCCGTCATATTAAAATGTCTTGGAGTCGGAGGATTATACACATATTTGTTGCAAATCATGTTGCTTTGTCGAGATATGTGAGGACATAAGTCATTTTTGTTTTGCTTAGCTAAACATAAATATAAGTATAAAAATATAATTATTCTACAGAATGAAAAAAAGGATGAATGATAAGACCTTGTGAAATTTATAGTTATATTCCTTTCATGACATTTATTTTATTGCTGTAAGTGTTTTTCTTTAACCAAAACAATTTGAAGGGAGGGGAAAGAAAAAGGTTTTTAATTTTACCTTAAGATAGCTCTATCTTAAATGTTTAATTTTTACCCTATACTTTGATTTAGTCTGTGACTTATTTTTCTTGTGGACAAAGCAGAATACTGATTTTTTTTCCCCATCAAGATTGGAATATATTAATGTTCTGGCAATCTTGACCATTATACCCATTTGTTGAACTAGAGAGATAATTTCAAGCACTTGTTTTATTCTGTGTCATGTTATCAAAACCTTTGCTTCAAACTCTCATAAAAGTCCAAGTCAACTGGTGACACCGAAGTCTTTAATGATTTCAGATACCCAGCCCTCTTTGAGACTGTACCATCTTGTGGAATTTTGATGGATGTTGATCAGTTCTTTATACGTAAGGTCACATCTTAAAAATGTAAGAGGGATCAAAGTTTTCCTAGAGATCAATCACAGTGCCAAATATTTGGCTTCTGTAAAATTTAAATGTTTGATAAGTTGCAAATACAGGTCTAAACACAAGGGTGTGCAGGACCAACCGTTAATCTGGTGATTGACCGTAAAATGATAAGTCTGATCGTGCATTGGGGTAAAGCACTCGGTTTTTAATAAAACCCACACTGTAAATAAACAAGCCCCTTATTTCAATTAAGAGTAAACAACAATGTTCTATACAATTTTCTTGACAGTGTCCACTAGAACAGATGATGTTTTGTGTTGTCCAGTTTGGAATAACCAATGACGTCACCTGATAAGATTATAATGTTTCATCTATTACCATGACTACAAGGACAATTGTCATGTAAATATCAGAATCGCATTGTCCTCTGAAGCATTTCCAAACAGTCTCTCAAGTATTTTGTCATCAATTTTAACTTTCTGTTAAAGGAAATGGTTATACTGATGTACATGTAGTTATACATTAATTCTGATAAAATATACATTAGATTCTTGATTTATTTCATGTGGTAGTCATATCAGCAATTATATCAGAAAAAATATTGTTTCAGTATGATTAATTCATAATTTTGATATATGATACACAGTAAGTACGTCCTATAATTAAAGTCAATATTTTTAAGTACCGGTAGTTCAATACTAGATCAAAAGATAAAATCAAAACTAACGGTATGTGGGGCTTTTTTTGCGCACAATTCTACCAGAGACCAGAATTAATCCCTCTGATAGTGTGAGGAAAAACCGACTTGGATGAAAATCAATGTGGAAGGCATGAAATTTCTGTGAAAAAACATGTCTAATGAAGGAGTCAGAAAGTGTAGAACATTACTCGCAGTAAATAGTACAGGGCTCACAAAGGACTATCACAATGTCTTTGGTTCCATTTGTAATCAACAAACAATGACTTTCTCAAGATCTATAGAGAACTTCATTTTTTATACATGTTTGATAGGTCCAAAGGATGATCAAAAGAAAGCTTTATTGTAATGGGTTGAGCATTACTCGATGCTTCACGGCTCTTATATAGTCATATAGTTCTAAGGTGTGCACCTCAGTCAATATGTCAAACTCATCAATGTTTTCATGAATTCTTAAAGTGACCTCAGCTCTAACATTCTGTGAAATTAGCTAGGTTAAGCCTAGCTGAACTTAAAGGAGACTGAAAAGTCTTGAGGGATATTACAAAATAATGAACCCTTGTAAAAATCACCATTGATATACATGTATGGATATCAAAGGTTTAACTCAATTCCCTACTCCCTAAATAGGTTAACTTTTCAATGGCTCTAGCTTTCCAATTTTCTGATTCATTAACTGTTTGTGGTATATTTAACTTGTATACAGGTTTATAAACATTCAATGTCATTAAGTAATCCATTCATCCCAACAATTCATTCTTTTGAAACTTCCATGCAGGAGAAAACGTTCAAATCATTATACTTGAATAGTCATTCATTTTAAAATCTCTTCATACTGAAATTTGAAGGAAAGGATTTTCTGTGAAATGTGGATGGTATTTGTGTCAGGTTTATGTTCTTAATGGTTCTGATAATTGGATAAAGAAAATATTGAAATGATTAAATAAGAACTGGTTAAATAAACTTCATATTTTTATCAAAACTTTCCGATTTTAAGAATAAAAAAAATTACAGTTTAAGAAGACTCTTTTTAAACCAGTCATTGAAATTATCACACTGTAAATTTAAAATGGGTTTTATTTTGTGCCATTTTTCATTCTAAATGTTGTAATCAGTTCAATAAAAGTTTCCCCCCTGGTCCACTTTCTGGTCAGATAAAGCTTCTTACTGAATCATATTAAAAAGCTCCACATTTATTTGAGTGGGGCATAAACTTAATAAAGGGGGATTTGGTGTATCCTAATACGGCATTTGTTATCAGTCCCCTGAGCCTTTAATTGCAATATAAGTTAAACTGTGTATTTTATTCATAATCTGTGCTATGTACACTCAAATAATACTCTCTCTCTCACTGGGAGCAGTTGTACCATTGCTGCCTGAAGGATTTAATTTAAGATTAATTCCTGTACTTATTAAATATTACTTATTAATGAATCATGGGATGAGTAACTAATTAAACAAATTCAAATGAACTCCATAAACTCTACTCAACATTGCTGATTAATTAAATTACAGGACAGAGGCAGTTGCCATGGAAAAGGAATAAACATATTCTGGTTTTTAATGTTCAAGGCATCAGAAATATAAAATAGCTGAAAAAGTGCTGGTGTTTTTAGTTTTCAAATTAAATCATATAATGCAACAAATTATTCCAATTCATAAGGTTGGGAAAAAACAGAGGAATAAAAACAATTCTTTTACTCAATAAAAAACCAAAGAGTAACAATGCTTAAAACATTTTTTTTTCTTAACAATGGATAATAACTCATATAATAAAGGACATATTTGTAATTTAAATAAGCCATATTAAAAGAATTTGACTTACATTTGAGGGTGGAAAATGCCAGTTCAAAGGCCAGTCTTTTATCCTGGTCATTAGAGAAGTAAAGTTGGGGTATATCTCTCTCTGATAGAGCAGCCTTATTCCTCTTTTTGAGGTATGGATTCTCTCTTTCCTCCAGACTCTCATGTCTCAGAGCTGAGAAAATTTTGCTGGCATTATTGTATGTCTGGTGGCTGTAAAGACAGGGTTCTTTGTAGAAGAACTGGAATCTCACATCCGAATCAGAACCATTAACAAGTTCTCCCTCTGAGTCTTCAGTCATCTTCATACGCATTTTTACTGTATCTCTCATCACACACCGGCTGTAACGAGAGCTTGAGGGACGGTCTGAAGGGGGGGCATGGGGCAGAAACTGTGAGGTTATCCTATTCTGCCCTGACACAGGTCTTCTTTGCAGTAGCACAGATTCAGCAGTAGGCGGCATTATGGTTAATATTAAACAGCACTAGGAAAATGTAACATCAAGTAATTGATCAAGGAGCACAATTTATCCAATCGTTTACCTGGCCAGGTATATATGGCAGGTAACAGGTGTCAATCAAACACTTTCAAAGGAGATTTAATACCTATAGGCGGAAAGACCAATTGTTATCAAATTTATATTTAGCAGTTCTAGAAACGGAATTCTGTTTTGACGTTTAATCTTTGTTGACCTGAAAGTAAAATAAATACGATTATGTAAAGTTCTTAATCAGACTGTAGAGGGTATTGGTAAATATTGAGTATCCACCATGCTCTAAGTACACTCTGGATGAAACAAAGCTGGTATTGTTATCATGATGACTTCATTTAGAATTTCCAACAAGGGATAAACACATCAGATATGATATTGTCCGTGATCAGGAACTCCCCATTGTCCAGTCACTGACATTCTTTATATGAAAAACCAGTGACTCTTTAAGAGTGTTTAAAATGACGCATCTTGCTGAACATGAAAAACAGGGTTGAACGAATAAAACTAACAGACATCATACATATAAGTATTTAAGTTCTTTGTATAAATTGGTGCTCTATTTAAAGGTATAAGAACCCTTTCATAAACGTTTGTAAAAGGATGTTCAGAAAACATTCAATTAGATGAATAAGTAAGCAGTTCACGGAACTCAAATTTAATATATGACGCATTTTATAGAAGGGTACTTAACTATAATTGCAAACAGATCATAAAACTCAAAAATCGAAAGTTTTAAAGAACTAAAAGAATTTATGACAACAATAAAAGAACGTTTTCAATCCAAAAAAGGAAAATTATAATGATTGAAATGAATAAAGTTAAATAAAGATAGTTTTTGCGTAAATATCATTATTCAGATAGTTATCAAAATGCAGAGCAATTTCCTATTTATATCTTTCAGTAAAAACCTTTTTTTCATTTCTTTTTTCTTCGTATGATGAGGCAAATAAAAATAAAATTGAGTTTTTCAAAACATATCATTATTATAAATCAACAAATGGATTCTATTTTCTAGTCTGTCATCCTGTATGATGAAATATGATTTATAACTGAATACAGTATTTTAAACAATTCTACTTCAAATTAAAATTACATTACATGTAAATTGATTTTATTTTAGAAATCAAATTCAGACTTGTAGGCATCCATTTATATTTTTTGAAAGGTGGTCAAATCTCCTTACGGGATTTCATAATATTGGTAATATATAATGTAGTGAAAAGTCTTCCACAGGATTCATAAAAAAGTTCCTCATAAGAGAGATTACCTTATAAAAGAATTCTTTTTAACCAAGTTTTACTTTTATTTTAGTCTTTAAATTTTTTTTTTTATGAATTTGAAAGCGTAAAGTACATGTATACTGAAACCCTCTTTAACATTGAAATACATGTACATACTGTAAACCAACCATCATTCACAACAACTTTTAGAACATTTATTTAATATGATTTGTCAGTTTGGAATCGATCCACTAAAACTAAATTTTGTTACTAAGGAGATATAAACAATTAAATAAATATTTGCGCCAATAAATATTTGTAAGAAAAGCAAGGTCCCGAATCTTGTGGATATACATTTCTTGCACCAATTAAAAACTGGTTACGGTATACAAACCAAATCACATTTGTCCATTGAGCCACAACATTCAGATAAGTAACACAATGTAATACCGATATTTTAACAAGAGAAACAGTTCCTATAAAATAAAAAAATAAAATGTAAAAGCTAAGATAAATCAGATTAGTTAAAAAATAATTAGTTTGCTCTGTTTTGAGAACTTTGTTTTGGGGTTTAGCTTGTAATAATTATACATGTAGCTCTGAGGGAAATTTCAAGATGAACATTCTTAGGCTTTGACAGGCAAAAGGAGCTGATTTTAAAAAGAACTGACCTATAGGAGAGAACAATTTCCAGAAAAAGGTCACATTTCAAAATTATAGTTCATTAGTTATTTTCTACCATAAATAATTTCTCTTTGAATCTAAAATTTATTACTTGCAATTTTAGAATTAACCCTCAAAGTTGGGTAAACAACATTCTCCCCATTTAAAGCACCAATTTTTGCATGATTTTTGGCCTAGAAGTCCTTCAGGGCAGGTCTGTCCCTGAATGAAATTATAATATGTTGATCGATGAGAACTAAGGAATTATCTAAAATAGGTCACCCCTATCCCTAGATGTATCATCCATGCAAATTTGGTCCAGGTAGGGCTTATAGTTTCTTGGGAATGGACCTGCTCCAAAAACTTTAACCTGGTCACTCATCTGGAAAATCTAGGTCAGATCCAGCATCCAAAACAAGTATAGTAGTGTCCATCCCCAGATGCATCATACATGCAAGTTTGGTCAAGGTGGGGCTTATAGTTACTTGGGAATGGACCTGCTCCAAAAAAACTTTAAACTGGTCACTCATCTGGAAAATCTAGGTCAGATCCAGCATCCGAAGCAAGTGTGGTAGTGTCCATCCTTAGATGCATCATCCATGCAAGTTTGGTCAAGGTAGGGCTTATAGTTACTTGGGAATGGACCTGCTCCAAAAACTTTAACCTGGTCACTCATCTGGAAAATCTAGGTCAGATCCAGCATCCGAAGCAAGTGTGGTAGTGTCCATCCCTAGATGCATCATCCATGCAAGTTTGGTCCAGGTAGGGATTATAGTTACTTGGGAATGGGACCTGCTCCTAAAACTTTAACCGGGATGCCGATGCTAACGCTGACGCCGGGGGTATAGCATAAGCTCATCTCAACTTCGTCGAGGTGAGCTAAAAAATAATGAAACTGTTTTTGACAACCTGGTTCATTTATACTGACTTATATAGACAGAATAGCTCAAAAACTTGGACTGCTGGCTCTTGAAGCCAAATTTTTTTTTAGGGTCTGGTTCAAATTCACCTGGCACAATACTTTTACAGATTTTAAAAACTCGCTTTATCAAACACTACTTTAATTGTATTCAACAGGGGTTTGTGTGTCTTACTTCAATTATCTGTCTTTAATGCATGTTCATTTTTTATATAAAAGACATTAAAGAACAAGATGTGTTTGTGAAACACTATGCCCCCGTATGGTAGCTTATGTCGAAGGTTAAAGTTTCTCAAATGCAAGTCAAAATCCAGGCCAAAAGATAAAAAATGTTGATACCCAAAGAAAGATCTTGTCTCGAGGAAAACACCTGTGAAATTTGAAAGACCTAGATACAACTGTTCAAAAGTTATGGTGAAGGTTAAAGTTTTTTAAATAAAAGTCAAACGTCAAGGTCAAGGTCAAAGTGGTTGGTATCCAAAGGAAGATCTCGTCACAACGATTACATATGTGAAGTATGAAAGCCCTAACACCAACCATTCAAAAGGTATGGCCAAGGTTAAAGTTTTTCAAAAGTAGGTCAAACTCCTAGGTCAAGGTCAAAGGGTCAAAGTGGTTGGTATCCAAAGGAAGGTCTTGTCACAAGGATTACATATGTGAAGTATGAAAGCCCTAGCATCAACCATTCAAAAGTTATGGCCAAGGTTAAAGTTTTTCAAAAGTAGGTCAAACTCCTAGGTCAAGGTCAAAAGGTCAAAGTGGTTGGTATTCAAAGGAAGGTCTTGTCACAAGGATTACATATGTGAAGTATGAAAGCCCTAGCTCCAACCATTCAAAAGTTATGGCCAAGGTTAAAGTTTTTCAAAAGTAGGTCAAACTCCTAGGTCAAGGTCAAAAGGGTCAAAGTGGTTGATATCCAGAGGAAGGTCTTGTCACAAGGAATACACATGTGAAGTTTGAAACCCTAAGCACCAACTGTTCAAAAGTTATGGCCAAGGTTAAAGTTTTTCAAAAGTAGGTCAAAAGGTCAAAGTGGTTGGTATCCAAAAGAAGGCCTTGTCACAAAAAATACACATGTGAAGTTTGAAACCCCAAGCTCCAACTGTTCAGAAGTTATGGCCAAGGTTAAAGTCTCATAAAATTTTGCAAAAGTGGGTCAAACTCCAAGGTCAAGGTCAAAAGGTCAAATATGATGGTACCCAAAGAAAGGTCTTGTCACAAGGAATACACATGTGAAATATGAAAGTCATAGCTCCAACCAATCAAAAGTTATGGGCAAGGTTAAAGTTGACAACAGACAGACAGACAAACAGACAAACAAACAGACAAACAGACAAACAGACAGACAGGACAAAAACAATATACCCCCGGGATCTTTCGATCCGGGGGCATAAAAAGCAAATCGTAAATTTTATATATAATCAAAACGCAGTCAGTGGAACAGCAACTATACCTAAGTCAGTGTAGAACATTTTCTTCAAGGACAAGAATTGTTTACTCTTTGTAACAGTGTTACTCAAAACAGGTATTCTCATCTGCAATGAGCTTCAATGGATTACTGTTGTATATACTTTATTAATTTGATACCTTGGAATTTTATCAGTTCAGTGTATTTGGTTTTATTCCATCTATATTACTAGTACAAGTCTGTCTATTTAGGTTGAACAAATATATAGTGCTTGCATTAATATTTAAATTTTATTAAATATAGTATTTCCAACTTTTGAAGTCAATGGTCTAAATTCAGATCACAAGTCTTTAAACAATGGGGCTACATATCAGAGACTGTACTCCTTGGATTTCACTTATATTATTTGTATACATCAATGACATGTTTTTATTATTTCTGTGTAAAATACATGCACACCAAAAAGAGAATTATTAAAATAGATATCACCATTATGATGAAAAGTAAAAGAAAAAAAAATCAAAAAAGCTTTTCAAGAAAACAAACTCAAAATGTGTCAACAATAAAAATTAAGCTACATCTAGGTAAGGTATATAAAAATCTTCCTCCTATCTCTACATACTACATGCATTGACTAGAACTAAAATGATCTAACTATGAGAAACAAATAACTACATGTATTTAGCCTAAAGTCATTGATTGGAATGGAAATCGATAAGATTTTTGTAAAGACTAAAACCAATCCTGGCCCTATAGGTCTGTGCTCCATTTAAAATAATGTGATCCTTTCAGCAAAAAATGAAGTTCTTGCTGCAATAAAGTTCTATATTAATTTCTTGTCCTCAAACTCAATTTTTGACATTTTTTATCAAGTTTATTCCATTTTTATTTCACAATTTTATAATAAAAAAAAGGAACTGAAAAAATTTTGGTATGCAATAGAGTGTTTGTCCTTGTTAAAACTAAAGGGGATGTAGAATAAATTGTGCTGTATTGACTCAGAATTATATGCTTCTACATCTTAAAGGCAGAAGTATTATGCATTGATAAAAAATGATTTTCTTCCTAATGTCATTTAACAAACCTAATGTCATTTAACAAACACAGGGAGAAATCTTCGTACAGTACAACTCAGTTATAATGAAGTCTATGGGGCCCTGTGAATTAACTTCACAATATCCATATTTTATTATATCTATATACTGAATTTGTTAAAGTATATATAGCAAATTTGCAATTTACCTGTTTTCCTTCAAGTATGACTACCAAATACGTTCAGAGAAGTATTTAATTCAAATCTTATTTTGGAGAACTTAAATTAAATTTCAAATAACTAAAGAATAATAATGCCAGTTCATTATTTCAAATATCTAGATCTTAGAAAATTTGCTACAAAAGATATAAATTTCATTATTTTCAACCTCTGCTGGACACAAAATCAATATACAATATGTGTTAATTCATAATACCAGAGTTCCTTATAACTGTGGAATTTCAAAAGGAATTGTTAAGCATTTTGCCCGGGATCCAAAAATAGTGAAATACTTTGCTGTATCTATATATTTATTATAATATCCATGTTCGTATTAAACTCAAGCAATGCCTAAAGACAAAGAGAATGCAAAAAAGATGCTGGCAGAATCTAAAAGGAGTAAGAGGGGAGTTATTACTTGTAACAACCTGTCCTGAAGCCTACTGCTGCAGAATGCTTATTTCCCAAGGATTACCAATTACTGGGGGTATTTTACAGTTTTACATAAAGTAAATTAAACATTATTTAGATACTATGCAACTTCATCATTTTCTGAAATTGTATATGCATATACCTACCTACATATACTTGAAATTTGTAGAAGTTGGCTTTGAAATAGGAGAGTCTTGTTTACCTACAGATATATAAACAGTAGATATTGCAGAATGGATAGTAAAAGGTTTAAACCTATTAAATATCTATAAATGTCTTTTACTTAAATTTGGCATCATTAATGAAATTCAGTATAAAGCATTGAATTGTAATGTTGATCCTACTTTAATTTAATAACACATAATCATAAACATTTAATGTACCATGAAAATAAATAGCTAGCAATACCTCTGATCAAGTATTATTTCATACAAATTACTAAATACCATCCATTTTTCTTACCAATTACCCTAAAGTTTTTGAGTTATATGAACTATTAGTAAATGTCACCAGAAGTAAAACAGATAAATCTTATTTCACATGCCATTAACTAACTGGAGTAACAAACAGGGTGACCCTTGTGTGTTTATAGAAGCTGATAACTTTTCATTGAAATTTAGCAGTCAAGATAACAAGTGTTTATGGTATTTATGTGCAACCAAACATACATTAATTATTTTAAAAAACTTTAGAGTATCTATATCTTAATTACAAAACAAAAACAAAAACGTTGTGTTGAACAGAATATAGGATATAGGCCTTAACATTATTATTATTATTCAACCACTTGCTGAATGCAGAGTGGGAGCAAAATATTCTATAAGTTTAGAAATATGCTTTAATTCTATGCATCTGTCATAGACTGTTTCAGAAATCTACTTTGTGAAAGAATACACCTTAAATTCTGTAAATATATTCTTGGTGTTCATAAGAAAAGTACAAATTTTGCAGTATTGTCTGAATTGGGAAGGTTCCCCCTGCATTATGATATTGTCAAATTGTTAATCAAAAGTTGGTATAGATTTGAAAATTTGTCCACAGAATTTCCTTTACTTATAGATGCATATGAATGTAGTAAAAATCTTTTTGTACATGGAAAGAGCTCATGGTTCGCATTTATACAGAAATTAAGAAATATACTGAATATCAAAGATGAAGTAATTTGTTATGGGAAGCATAAATGTAAGTCACTCTGTCATAAAACCATATTAGATTATTATGTAAAAAATTGGTATACAAGTCAACAAAGTTATACCGATGGTAAATTAAGCACATATGTAAAACTCAAACAAAATTTGGGGTTATGAGAATTATTTCTCAGTAGTTAAAAATTTTCATCACAGAAAATCTCTATGTAAATTAAGAATTTCTTGTCACAGATTGCAAATTGAAGTGGGAAGATTTACCAACATCCCTCGAGAAGATCGATTATGCAATAGATGTAACTCTAACAGTGTAGATGATGAAACTCATTTTCTGATAACATGTAAAAAATATGATCATCAAAGAAATTTTTCAATCAATTAAAAGTAAATTTCCAAATTTCTCGGCATTAGATGATGAACAAAAACTTTTTTGGTTACTCAATACTGAAGACAAAGAAACTCTTAATTCTGTGGGCAAATTCATAAATGATAACATGTTGTAGTAGCCATACACTATTATATATAGTATTCCCTTTAACTGAAATAGTACAATATTATTGTTGAAATGAGCAATGTCATTTACAAATTGTTATACTATCCATTGGCATATCTTTTCTTTATTATTGTAATAATTTCATACTTGTCTGTTATGGGCTCTAAATTAGAAAATAAATGTTCTGTTCTGTTCTATATATAAACCTATTAAGATTTTTTTCTTATTTCACCCAAACTCTGTATTCGCGTAGTTTTAGAATACTCAGTACCTCAATACCTATTACATTGAGTCCACAAGAAACTGTTCTATTTCTTAAAAATTACAGTTTAAATATTTTGCTAATGAATCACAACTTAAATAATCAAAAATTGAATTTAAATATATACCAATGCTGTACGTAACCAGAGACATCTATTATTATGTCTCTGACGTAACCAATATTAACGAGGAAATTCGGATTATGTACATAACGGATTATGGTTCATTTTGTATCTGAAAAAAAAAATCAAATAAATAATCAAATACAGTCAAATGGAAAAAATGATACGTATGGCTAGCCTCAATAAGCAAGTCACCAAAAGCAAAATGTCCATATATTCCAAACAACTTCTTGGATAAATAGCCGATTCACTTCAAAGCAGGACCGCCATGCAAAATCTGATTGTGATGTAACGACAACGTCACAGTCGAAATCTCGCTCCAACAGAAGTATACTCTCAGAGGACGTCGGGTAATATTCCGGACAGTTTTTTTTATTTTATTTATCTTTTTTATTTTTTATTTTTTTGGTACTGTTGAATGTAGAGTTGAAGGAAGTAGATTATATCATAGGTTTGGACCTCATCGTTTGTCCCAAATCCAAGATGGCAGCATGCACTAACCTTGATATGGAGGGTCCAAAAAAAATTCAATGTTGTGTAATCGTTAAAAATATTCAACCTATATATAGATGTGTAATTTTTTTTTTGTGATACACCGATGTTCCCTTATGGCAGATCAAGGCTAAAGTTAATTTTTAAATGTAGGTCAAACTCCAAGGTCAAGAGGTTGAAAATCTTGGTACACAAAGAAAGGTCTTGTCACAAGAATACACATGTGAAATATTATAGCCCTAACATCAACCAATCAGAAAATATGTTCAAATGTACCAGGTAGGTCATACTCAAAGGTCTTGTCACAAGGAATTCTCATGTGATATATGAAAGTTTGATTTTTTTTTTACTTCCTTGTTACTAAAAAATGGCAAAAGTTTTGCGTGAAATGTGCTTTCAAGAAAAGAAGTTGTCTTGGAGCAAATAGATACGGAAGCGTATTTGTGCCACGAATTTTTTTTTTTAAGTTGGTAATTCCAACTTTAAAGTTGGCTTTTCCAACTTTAAAGTTGGCAATTCCAACTTTAATCTTGGCTTTTCCAACTTTAAAGTTGGCAATTCCAACATTAAAGTTGGCTTTTCCAACTTCAAAGTTGGTAATTCCAACTTTAAAGTTGGTAATTCCAACTTCAAAGTTGGCACTAATACGCTTCCGTATGTAGATAAATTCTTATATAGTTTTATTCTAAAGGCGATAAGGTTAATCTGAAGAATGATATATATGATTTCTTTATTTATTATTGCTATTTTATTGAAGGGTTTTATTTGTTTCTTGTTTTATTCGAGGTGGTGTATTTAAAGAAATTCGTAGGATTCATTGAATAATGTTATTGCTTTTCTCACCATATGCTGATTTAAAGTGGGCTAACTTAAAAATCGATTGAGGCTATCTGGTACCATTTGCAAGAAAGTCTAACAGGGAAAAAAATTCAAAAGTTTATGTGTTGTGGACTATTGTGCTCCGTTTTTGATTATTTCAATATGACCTTTTGTTTAAATAAAGTCACTTGCATTTTTTAGACCCATGTGGTATTAGTTTACAATCTTTATCAAACTGCATGAAGTTTGTCAGCTAGAAGATGAAGTTATGGTAAAGTTTGGTTACAATTTTGTAAACAGTTGAATCATGTAATATTCATCTGTCACTGGAGCGGACTATAAAGTGGGACTGCAGGCGAGAGCGAAAGTTGGTGCCGTTTTCATCATTTATTAAAACCCCACCCCAACCCCCCCCGCCGGAAAAGTGGGGTGGGGTGTATGTATTTTGAAGGGGGTGTCCGTCCGTCCTTCCTTCCTACACTTGGGGTAGCCATCCTTTATCCACAACTCCTCCTATATCACCGAATAAAATTTAGTGAGACTTTCAAAGAATCTTTATTACATATAGTGTCATTGTACACCTCCTATTTTACGATCGGACAGATGTTTGGGTTTTCCATAGCAACACATTGGCATTTCATTTCTTTTTATAATATTTGGGATACCCATCTCTTATCGCAACTCCTCGTTTACCACTGTATAAAATTTATGAGATTTTCACATTTTTTTTTACATAGCATCATTATGCACCTCCTATTTTATTTCCGATCGGACAGACATAGCAAAACATAGACACTGTCATTCTTTCTATAGTATTGGGGGTACCGACTACCCATCTCTTATCCACAACTCCTCCTATACAGTATACACTGAATAAAATCTAATGACACTATGGGTTTACCATAGCAAAAGATAGACACTACTATTCTTTCTCCAATAAGGGGGGGGGGGGGTCCCATCTCTTATTTTATTCGTGTACCTGGATATAACTTCTCAACCAATAAGAGATAATCATGTAGAAAGTGGAAAAATCTCAAAATGACCCCGCGTCATTCTTGAGTAGCAGCTCTAAATTTTATACTACACCAGCTTAAACTTCTCACATTTTCATCTTCTTTTCCAGACCAAGTGAGCTACTATCTATGGTGGCATATTTCTGCCCCCTACATGCAAGATAAATTATGTTAACATGCAAGAAAAGTATTTCAACATGCAAGAGAATTATGTCAACATGCAAAATAATTATGTTGACATGCAAAGTACCAATCTTTTTTGAGAATCTAATTTTAATGTTGGTAAAATTACTTACCAACGCCAGTATGCGACATCATACAAGCAAGCTGCAACAGAGTTATGTTGACATGCGACTTATTTATGTTAACATGCAAGATAATTATGTTAACATGCAAGATGTTTATGTCAACATGCGACTTATTTATGTTAACAAGCAACATAATTATGTAGAGATGCAACTTATTTATTTCAACATGAAAGATAATTATGTTAACATGCAACTTATTTATGTCAACATGCGACTTATTTATGTCAACATGTGAGTTATATTTAACATGCAAGGTATTTATGTCAACATGCAAGATAATAAGTTGCATGTTTACATAATTTCTCGCATGTTGACATAATCAATTCGCATGTTAACATAATTATCTTGCATGTTGACATAAATAAATTGCATGTCTACATAATTATCTTGCATGTTGACATAAATAAGTTGCATGTCTACACAATTATCTTGCATGTTGACATAAATAAGTTGCATGTCTACATAATTATCTTGCATGTTAACATAAATAAGTCGCATGTCAACATAATCCTGTTGTATCTTGCTTGTATGTCATATAATGGCGTTAGTAAGTAAGTTTACCAATATTAAAATTAGATTCTCTAGAGAGATTGGTAACTTGCATGTCAACATAATTATTTTGCATGTTGGCATAAGTAAGTCGCATGTCTACATAATTTGTTAACATAATTTATCTTGCATATAGGGGGCAGAAATATGCCACCATAAATTTCAACTAAACTTCCTACAAAACATCCCTTGTTTTGTTCAAGAGGTTGTACGAGGAGACAATTCATAAAAAGTGAAAATTTCAATATTTTCTTTACTGATTTAAGTCCAAGTACATTTTGGTCAAATATCAGTGTAATAGAAATAATATTTTAATATAAGGAAAAAGTACCTTCTTACAAGTATTTTACAAAGTTTATAGATGCCTAATATAAGAGCTCCATCTCACAAAGTTCAACATTACAAACAAGTTAATATCACATGAAGCATTTGACGAAGTATTTGGTAAACAAGACTCAGACACCTTTCTTGGAGTCTGACGAAAACTGTTCCAATTCCTGATTCAAACCTTTTTTTTCCCTAAAAATTATATATTTTGCAAAGTTTCTTTCTTTTTTTAATGTTGAACATTCGCCAAAGGCTGTGAATGTGTGATCAATTTTTATGGTAATTTCCAAACATTTTACTGCAACGGTCCCAAGTCTCGGACATTTTTGTATAAGCTTTTTTCCTAATTAGTAAGTCAGTACGATTTCTTATTTGTATAGTTCAATAAATGAAAAAGAAACTAACAAAAAGAAAATAAGATCTAACGTATATCTTATCATTAGGTAATATGGCATGAAAACCTAGTTTTCACCTACCCCATATTATTTTTTGCAGAAACTATTTCTGAAGAAAAAAATCGTGTTTTCACGATCTTTAGTGATCTGTTCAAGTCAGCATCGACGATTCGACCAGGAATACCCCAACACTATTAAGGATAAAACAATTTAATACTGTACGGTTGTTAACTCTAAAATGGCATTCTACATTAAAAATGTTACGAAGTCCAAATGAACATGCAAATCCTTATGTTTTTGTGGGAACGCCACCTATCCAAGCTTTGTTTTTCCTTTGGATGTTGGTCAATACTTCCTTTTCTACATTAGCCTTAAAATGCACCCATTTCCGATAAATAAACACCTGGTTTTTTATGTAGTTGTGGGAGGGGTAATTTTGTACCTGAAAAAAACAAATATTCTGTGAATAGTAAAATCTTCTTCGCAAATTAGTCTGAAATCAGGCATAGCATTTTTTCATTACATAGCCCAAGGAAAAGAAAAGTAAACTTTTAAGATTGTGGCTTTTTTTAACTTTTAAAAATTAATACAATATGAAAGACCCTGTATCTGTTATAATGCCCACTTACCAAGTCAGTGACAATCCTTAAGACTTTAACATTAGCCTCCCTGAGGAAGAGACGCTTGGAGATGAGGATACACTCCGCCCCCTCGCTGACCAGACTCAGTTGTGTGGATGGGGTGGAGATCAGAGACTCCAAACCCTGTTAGACGGAGAATATAGGACACTACATAAAATACAATTACATAGCAAGTTATGCTTCTCTTTGGTGCCAATTTGGACCTCCTTTTACCGACAATCATATAGATGTTTTAGAAATTGTAAAGGAAGAAATATGAGATTTCTAAATGTTAAAATAATTAATACCAAACTCACTTCTTTTAGTCTTAATTGCAACTTCGGATGTATAAGAAGGGGTCGTCTGATTAAAACTGCTATATAACTATTTTGGTAATAGTCATCAAAACAAATTGCCGTATTAAATACATTTAATATATTTCACTTACAAAGACTTGTCCCGTCTTTAATTCTGAAATCTGGGCGTAGGCCGTGATGAGGGGCTCAGAACATCTATTGCGTTGAACGTACTCCTAGAAACAATAAGTTTTTAATATATATATATATATATATATATATATATATATATATATATATATATATATATATATATATATATATATATATATATATATACACACACACACACACACACTTAGAAGAAGCACTTATGCAAGTATTCAGTACCTCTTCGCAATCCAGAATTTCTTCCATAAGCCGTGGTTTGGAGGACATCGTTCTGCGATCCGACTTTTGGGATTTTCTATGTGGATCTGAAAATTGCGCATTTTCTTTTACTCGTTACAGTGCTTTATCCAAATATCAATTTTGAATGAAATAGAATACTCAACATGGCCAATATTTTGCAGTTTTCATTCAAACGATATACTGGTACAGTGAAGCATTCGGGGGGAAATGTGCAGATTTTTTTTATATAGATAAAATCCAAAATTGTACTTTTGAAAAAAATCCATAAATATTTTATATTCATATAAATTTTATTTAGATTTTGCTGGTAATATGGTACGTGCTAAGATTTCTTTTTTCATTTGGCGAAAAACAAAATTACACCCAAAATGAAGACAAACACATGTATGTAGAAATCCATTCATTACATGATCATTACTTATAAAAATAATAATAATAACTAGAGCAAAGCTCGTTGCAAAGCAACGAGTAGGTCTTCCGTCCGATTTTCAGTTTCACTGTTTGTAAGATGGATAAAGGAAGGTAAAGCATTTGAAAAAAGAAGGTCTAGACCAAAAATGATGTCGATCTGTATTCAGTATATATTTATGATTGAAATCTAGGCTGATATTCCTGAAATTAAGCAATTTATGACTAAACCAGAATACAACAAGTTCGTATATTGATAAATGTGTTACCAGCCGAATGTCTTCTGTGTGTCATCTGGTTTATTTCGTCGTCAGCTGTTGTTGACATTTTTTCTGTGGTACTCTCTGACATCTATAAAGGAAAACTGGATGTTACACTCTATATACACATTATAAACATTGTTTAATTTGGATTGGGCTTCCGTATACGTAGCGACACCCCCGGGTTGACACACTGTTCACAAGCCTCTCTCTATCGTAAACAAAAATAACCCAGTCAGTATATATACCGACATCCGGACTCACACGCTGTTCACTAGTTTCTCTATCATACCCTCAATAACCTAACCCGTTTACGTAGCAACATCCGGAATGACACTTTGCTACAAGCATCTCTTTTTCGTACCCAACAATAACCCGATCCGTATACATGTATATACCGACATCCGGACTCACACACTGTTCACCAGCTTCTCTCTATCGTATACCTATTAATAACCAAATCCGTTTACGTAGCAACATCCAGAATGACAAACTACTCACAAGCTCCTCTCTTTCGTACCCAACAATAACCCGATCCGTATATAACCGACATCCTGACTCACACACAGTTCACCAGCTTCTCTCTATCGTACCCATCAATAACCAAATCCGTTTATGTAGCCACACCCGGAATGACACACTTCTCACAAGCATCTCTCTTTCTATTGTCCCCATCAATAATTTTAATCCAATCCGTTTACGTACCGATATCGTGCTAACACACTGCTCACCAGTTTCTTTCCATTATATTGTGTTTGTCAATAACTCAAATATACAATGCAGGGTTGACCGGGAAATACCAGTGGTGGGAATTACCTGTGGTAAATACCGGTATTTCCCGTCCCGGGGATTTTCTATTAACTGGGAAATCTTGGGAAATAGAGAAGCTAGTCTTTTATTTCTTTAATTCATTCAATCTTTAAAAAAATTCAGAAATAAAATAAACACAAATACAGAAGATGAATAATATTGAATATGTCTCAAGCTGCAATTTAATATATTCAGAATGTATCACTACTCCAGGACCCCTACCACTAAGCATTATGAAGCAGTATCCATTTCCTTGGCTGTATATTGAAAACAAAAAATGAAAATTTTCCAATTCGTTTCTTTTCAGTTTTGTAAATTAATAAGTTTATTAATAAATAAATCCAAGAATTAAACAAACTTGGTGTAATCCTTCTATGAACACTGTAGTTATTACAATCGATCATGTTGTTTTTAACAAATTGCTCTGGACAGTTTTGTGCTCCTGTTTTGAGAGATAATTACCTTGAGTAGAACTGAAAGGCCTCTCTTTAGTTTTTATGTTTACACCATACTCTACATTTAACAATTTTCTTCAATCCCTCTTTAGTTACATAAAAATCCCAATTGGGTTCTTTTGGGTTTATTTCATGCACCTTTATAGACTACATCTGACTTAAGCATGAAACAAATGAACCTCATGACTGGTATATAAATTACTTGGAAACCAGAAATTTTTATGTAGGGACAGTGATACCAGGTCGAGAGCCAATAAGGCGTTCTACATGTTTATATCCCAACAAATATGATTAAAATTATGAAATATAAAAATAGCTATTTCTTATTTACAGTAATTCCGGTAATTACAAGTATTTCCTACCGTCCTTGAAAATACGAGTATTTCCCGTTGTGTGTGTGCGTGTTTTTGCCAACCTAATACCATGTACCGATGCACATTCATCAGCATCTCTTTATCTCTCATACCCGGACCATTCTATGCAGTCGTATACGAATACGCAGATACCAAATCGGTATCAATAAATCTTATCTAATACGTACCGACACCCGGGCTGACACGCTGCTCACCAGTTTGTCTCTATCTATCGTACCCGTCAATAACCCAATCCTAAACTTGTCTTTGGAACTGGTTTTGTTATCTGTTCCTACGAAATAAACTACAATCTAGTATTCCAGTCTGTTATGTTGTCATTACAATGTCTTCTTTTTTCCTTCAAATACTAGTAAGTGCCTTAGACACTCTTACTTGGACAAGAGTCCATTGCGTGTATCTTCTTCATAGTTGTATACAAGGGAAACGCCTCTTCCACCTCGGGGGCAAACATCTTTCTAATTCTGTCTGGGCGTGTGTCCGATTTCCGGCTTTGGAAATCGCTCACGATTTTACATTTTCCCTTTATTCCAAAAAAGAAAGGATTTTTAAGAAAATTAATTTTCATTGTTTTCTTGTCCACATAAAAGACAGAGTGCATTTATTTTGTCTCTTACCGCTTTAACGACGATGATGTATTTACTTTCCAGACTGTCTCTGACAATCACGTCATCAGGTCTGAAAATGTTCATTTTAGTTATCTTACATTTTCTCTTGCTTTCTTTCCTTTTTTACCATTATAATTTCTTCATTTTGCTTTATTATTTTCATAAAGCAAATTTTTGGTGTAAGTACACAACAGTTACTAACTTGAAATACTGGTAGAAAAACTGGCTTGTGTTGTGCTGGAAAGCTTTGTCGCAAGGGAAATCTTTGAACAACATCAGTGATCTAAAATGGGTTTTTAATTTTGATGTACTTAGAGGCAACAAATGTTCTCAAACTTTTGATTGAAAATTGATTTTTTTTTCTTACTTGCAGAATTCTACGTTTTGTTCTCTCTGTTTTCGAAGTGGCTCTTTGATTATGACATCGAAATCCTTTAAAATCGAGCAAATCAAGTAAACCCCAGTTTAGTTTAAATATAAAATTAATACACAGTAATAATCAGTTGAAGAATGAATGATTTTCATACCTCTTTCAAAACGACTAGAAACTCGCACGTTGTTTTACAGATGATGGAGGCTGTTCGGAGTCCCCCGTGTATCAAAGAGATCTCCTTTAAATAGACCAATGAACTGCAGATCAATATTGGTTTCAAAATAAAATCACATCCTATACTTCCTTCAGATCTCACAAATAAAATGCCAAAATTTTGAATGAAAGTTTTTTTCATTATGAAAGACTACCCCAAACGTGTCCCCGCCGCTGAGTTCGTGAACGGTTCGCACGAATTTGTTTCCTGTTCTTGGGTCTTCGTCCAGGATGTTCACCATGGCTGTGCCTGTCAACATGATGTAGAACATGGAGGGAGGGTGGCCCTGTTTCAGAATCACTCGACGTGCCTCGTAACTGAAGATATATTATTCATGTAAATGATACGAACTACACGTTCATTTCTGATTCCATGTAAAAGAAAACAAAGATTGATTAAAAGAAATACAGGTATGTTGTTGTCAATTGAAGGATAACAGTTGTAAGTTTTGCATTGTGAGTAGCTTTTTGAACCTCTGTTTTGAAAAGACAGTTCTTGCTTTTGCAAACAATTAAACCTGTCTCAATTTAACTGCCTTAAGGTGGATTTATTTATTGTTAAAACAGAGGTAATCAATGATAACATAGTTCACATCAACGAATGTTATTAAGTAAGGCAAGTTCCAGACTAAACAAATTAATCTGTGCATCCCTAGATGCAACATTTACATAAGTTTGATCCAGGTAGGGTTTGCAGTTACTTGCCTGTTACTAACCTGGTCACTCAGTCAGAAAATGTGGGTCAAATCCAGCTTGCAAAATCCTAGATATACATGGATCATACATTTGCTCTAGGGAGGTGGAATATTTTAATTCCCAAATCTTTAACATGGTCACTCGTCCATAAAATGTAAGTCACATCCAACATCCAAAGCTTGTCTAAAAGTATGCAACCCTAGATGCAAAACCTTTAAGTTTTGTCCAGGTAGGGCTTGAAGCTACAGTGGAATGAGCCTGGAACAGCTGGTTTGAACCCCCCTCCCGACAATGGAAACGTAATGAAATAGAATCTCTGCTGATATGAAGTTAAAACTATCATTTTATGTGCAATACATTTTGTTAAAATTCGATGTACATTTAAACTATAATTTTTCCCATGTTACTGTTAATTATCTCCATCCCAATGATTCAAATGTAATTAGGGCCACAGCTTTATTTATTGTCACGCGCTAGTTGCATGTCTACATCTTTCAAAATACTTATACTATTCAAATTTTATTGTGCTAGCTTCCTTCTCAACATACACAATATGAAGTATGCGTGGAGGGTATTTAGAAGTCCTTCTAGATACAGAGAAATGTTTCTGCAACACACAATTTTCCTTATTATTCTTTTTGTCCCCCGCTTTCACGAAAGCGAGGGGACATTAAATCTCATTCGTCTGTCAGTCTGTCCGTCTGTCACAAAAACTTTAACCTTGGTCATAACTTTTAAATGAGAAGAGATAGTGCTTTCATATTTCACATGCACATTACCTGTGGCAAGACCTTTCTAAATATACTTTGATTTTTGACCCCGTGACCTTTGACCTTGAAGTTTGACCTACTTTTCAAAAGTTTTAACATTACTTTAAATTGGTCATAACATTTGAATGAGAAAGGATTGAGCTTTCATATATCAAACGTGTATATTACCCGTGACAAGACATTCCTAAATGTACTATGACTTTTGACCCCATGACCTTGACCTTGGAGTTTGACCTACTTTTCAAAAATTTAATCTTTGCTTACAACTTTTGATTAAGAAGAGATAGGTCTTACATATTTGACATGTACATTACCTGTGACAAGACCTTTCCAAATATGCTATGAATTTGACCCCGTGACCTTGACCTTGAAGTTAGACCTACTTTTCAAAAAAATTAACAATACTTTAAATTGGTTATAAAATTTGAACGAGAAAAGGTAGAGCTTTCATATTACACAAGTACATTACCTGTGATAACACCTTTCCAAATGTACTATAGTTTTGATCTGGACCTTGAAAATTGACATACTATTCAAAAATTTAATCTTTCCTTATAACTTTTGATTAAGAAGAGATCTTTCATATTTGACATGTATATCCGGTATTACCTGTGGCAAGACCTTTCCAAATGTACTATAATTTTGACCCCTTGACTTTGACCTTGAAGTTTGACCAAGACAGCTACTATATGTCATAAATAATGCCATCGCATCCACTAAGACATCGGAAGCGGGGGACCACAATTCTTTGAGTTTGCTTGTTTTTCTTTAGTTTCTTAATTTCTTTTACCTGCTCCACACGGGAAAAAATAACATTGTTAGATTAACTGTAGTTTTTATGCCCCCGCCATAAAATGGCCGGGGCATATAGCGTTACCCTGTTCCGTCCTCCGTCATTCTGTCATAATTCACTTTCCGTTATCTCTGCAACAGTTGCACACATTCAACTCAAATTTTACATATGGATACGCCTTAGGAATACGCAGGTCAACGACGAATTAGGTCATGGTCCGATGATTTTTGACAGAGTTATCCCTCTTGAACTCAGGAAAAAATAAATTTTCAGTTTCCGCTCTCTAACTTTTGTAGGGATGTATGTATAAGGTTGAAATTGCATATGTAGGTATTTTACCCGAAAATACAGGTCACGTTCGAATTTGGTCATGGTTCGATGATTTTTGACAGAGTTATCCCTCTTGAACTTAGAAAAGATGAGCAATTTTTAGTTTCTGCTCTCTAACTTTTTGTAGTGTTGTATGTATAAGGCTGAAATTGTATGTGCCTTAATTTTACCAGAAAATAGAGGTCAGATCTATTTGAATTTGGTCGTGGTCCGATGATTTTTGACAGAGTTATCCCTCTTGAACATAGAAAAAATAAGAAATTTTCAGGTCTGCTCTCTAACTTTTTTAGGGGTGTATGTAAAATGTTGTAACTGCATATGCAGGTATTTTACCAGAAAATATGGGTCAAGTTCGAATACAAATTTAAATCTAAATATTGAATTTGAAATTTTGGCTGCTTGCAGGGTCATTCATGTCGATAACGACACATCTAGTTTCCCTTGCATTATTTATTCTCTTATTCCTTCTTGTTTATGCTTCCAAAAAGCCCGGAATTTAAGGGGAAATAACAATTTTCCCACCTTTGGTACTGCATACAGCGGGCTAGTTGTATCTGTGTGTGTACGGGGTAGTCCTGAAAGGAGGCGTTGTCCCTCATTAGAGCCATTATCTGTCAAATAAAAACCCATTATAGGTACCGTCTTACGTAATTTTAGGCAACTTTATTAAATGAGCCATTTATAAAAATCTGCACTCACCACTTGAATGTTCTGGAGAGTCCTTCGTTCTTTAGGTATGGAGAGCAGCTCTTTTAACTTGTCTCTTAGCTACATTTGATAGAAAGAAAAAATGTAAGGCTTTTATTTTCGAGTCAGTTTTTGAAATAAATTTGACACTTTATCCGGTGTTGCGCTTATACCTTTGTACAGTTGTATACTTGCAGACTTGAAGTAACAATGTAATTATGGGCTACTTTGAGACTTACAGGTGATGTTCACAATTTGTTCTTAACGAAATGTCTTCATTTACGATAGCTCTTAAATTCTCATTTAATACATATTTCACATTTTGACAGTAGCATTACCAGAGAAGGTTGTGGCAGTTTTGCAGCTCTTTGTACTGGTGTTAAACTAGAAGTATTTAATATCTAATCTATTAACTTGTAAATGATTTAATGTGTTTGATTCAATTGGTTGTTAAGCTTTTATGTAACACTTACTGGTTCAAATTTCCCGTATGTATTGGGATTGAATGCCAAGACTTGGTTCATGTCATCCCGTAAATGGATGTACATCTCCATAAACGACCAGTCACTGGTGTTGGGTTTTAGAGTGTATCTGCAAAAGTCCCATTCAAAGATTTTCTATTTACTGGGTTGTTAAAAAAATAAGACAATATTCTCATTATGACATTTAATTATATTTTGCCTTTATTAATCATCCAAATTAATGTGAAGCGGAGTGGATCAGATACCCTTGACTCGGGAAGATGGTCTTTATGTAATTACTTTTTTTATATGTCGCCCACCTTTAATGGGGCAAGGTCTGGAAGCATTGTTCTACATGCACAATGTACACCAACGTATTCGTGTGCGATTTCACGACCTTCTTTTACTCGTGAATATTTCTTGTAGCGAACCATCAATTTAGTTGTGTATTATTGTAAAAGTCGTGGATACCGACATATCGCGAATAACAGTTCATGTACAGTTTAAATTATGAATATAAAGGGGTGGGGTGGGACTGTGATATTTACCTCTTTAACCATATCCATATCCCGGATACAATCAGGACACTTCTGGCGATTCTTCTGAATTTGACAATGGACTAGAATGTGTATTATAAAACTATGAATACCAGTTACCAATATGTCAGAAAATATTGAAATGATATAACAAAGAACAGATTAAACATTAGAAAGGACATAAAATATACTTAAGAAATAATAAAAAAAATGTGCAAATTAAAATATGTGCAATCTAGGCAGTCGCACTCAAGGTGAATGAAATTATAACCTTCTCCGGTACGTAGTTCTGCAAATAAAGAAATCTGGCATGAAATCTTGTGGAATTTTTTTCACAGGGAAATGAAATTTTATTTTGTTCTTATCTCTTTATCCATCAACCAAGATTAAACAAAAGGACAGATGGAGAACTAACCGGTTCCCGTGGAGAGAGATCCTCTTTTGGTGAAGGCAAGGGAGGGAACAGTAGACCTTTAGTTGACATCCGCCTCCTCCTCTGCAGACGACCAAGACCTCGACTCAACATCCGAAGATGCTGCTCCCCAGTCACTGACGTCACAGAACTTCGGCGATGTTCGTTACCGATTGAAATGACGGAGCTCCGACGTCGAACCGGTGAAACACGACCGGAGCTCCTGATACTGGTTGTGCCAGAGTTTATAGATGACTGCTGTTTGGGATTCTTTTGTGATTCCAAGGGTCTTAGTGAGAATTCTTTTAGCAGAAGTTTGTACTGTGACTCTGCCTCTGATCTGGCCAAGGAAGTGCCAAGTCTGACGACAAAGTCCGGCGTGTCCCGATCATCGCTTTTGCTATCTGAAAGATTCTCACCCGGATCCAGAAGATGTGGCACATCCAGACTCTGAATCGGAGTAGATGTCAACAGACGATCCTCTTCAATCGAGTTATCCATAACTGAACAAATTTGTGGATTCTTCCAACAAAAACAGACTAACACTCAGCAGAATCACAGACTTTCTGTTACATATGTTTCTTTTATTTAAGACGTAATTACGGATACTAGATAAAGACTTTCTCGTTTTGATAAGTAAACATGGTGGTATTTTGTGGAGAGGTTAGGCATTATACAAACCATGGAACAGATTTATTGGTCATTTATAAGAAGAATGGTCGAGTTACTCGGGAGAGTGACGGTATTGTTCAATCTTTATCTCTAAGAAATAACAGATTCCCTTCTGAATAGTTCGATACATCAAATAGAAACGTTTATCAATGAATATCGTGTTTAATCTCTCTTTTTATCGGACTTAAATTGAACTTGGCAGAGTGGTGGCATAGTAAACGAAAAATGTATTGACACTTTCGTAATCTATCTAACTCTTGCTTTCATTCCGTTTAAATTTTTCAAAGAGCGTTCTCGATTGTTTTTGGTTTATTTTTCCTGTCTTATTTGTTTCCTTTCGTTTACCAGGATAGCCACTTCTCGTGAGAAAAATCAATACAGAAGACGTACAGTTTATTCTTTATCACGGTATGCATAACTATAAAGAAAAGACACTCTATGGTCATAGTCCTGGTGTAGATGAAGATTTAAAGCTATAGGCCCTATATGGCGTATCTGAGCTAAAAAAATAAAAATACGACATTGAGTGTAGATAAACATGATATATGTTATTTACGTTCAAATTAAAATTTTCGCCGATTTTGAACTTGAATAACCTCATGTTTCCATAGTTAAATTGATTTTAAACTGTGTCTGTTAATTAAATGCGGAGTCGGTAAATAAATCGGTTATTGTTTTAAATTTCTATATCTTTGAAACGAGATTGATTTAAATTGCGTAATTTACAGGAAAGACCTATATCTTTATATAGAGTAATAAAACAAATAGAAAGATCTTTTTTAATTTTAGTTAGTCTGAACTAAAAAATACGCAATATATGACTTTAAAAAGAATTAAAATTGTCCATTTTTTGACTCTCTATTACAGCAGAGCGTTTACAAGTTTTAACGTTGTTTGTTCGCAGAGGGCATGCGCAGATCGGGGGGGGGGGGGGGGTTCCGGCTCCACCCTGGAATTTGCAGAGTTATTAAAAGTATATACTGAAGCAAATAAAAAATGGCTTTGGACACCCCCCCCCCCAAGAAAACGTGGATCCCACCATCACCACCACGAAATAGGTGTTTTTCATGTTTGTGAAATGCATTTTAGGTTGTTTTTATTTTTGGTTTTGCTTGTCCTGGATCCGCGCCTGTAGGAGCATTTCCCTCTTTAAATCAAGTGGTTTAATATAACTTTTCAAGATTACTTTTATCTAACTTCATAAAATGGTACAAATTGTTGAGAGAAATTCACGTTAAAATTGTCTGGCTTTAAAATTCCTTACGACATAAAAATGCATTTCTTCAACCATCCATACTATAACATATCAAACATCCATACTATTACATATCATGCATGAATTTGCAACATAGAGATTGAACGTGAAACAATGAGACTTAATTGATCCAGTAGATAGAAAGATAGGTTGAACCAACACTATAAACGTTGCTAGTTGCTACAAAGGCAACAACTGTACTAAAGGTATCAGTTTTGTACATGTATATGAAAAAAAAAACAAAATTTAAAACCGTTCAAGTCACTTCCTCTTTCTTCACGGTAGATTTTAACCAAAATTTACTATAATGACAAGTTATGCTCCTTTTCTAAAATAATTTTCATATAAAATTTATGGAGCCCAATAATAATGCTTTCCACTTATCCGATTTTGTTAGATTTTTTATCACATTTATTTTTGCATTCTGAGTTTATGTATAACAAAAATATTCTAATGCAATCACATGTAGTTTGATGTTGGAGGATATTAAAATTGACTGGACTATAGCAGGTGAGACTACAAGCATAATGTATTCAATGACACGATTTTTTTTTAATTTTACGAAACTCTTCAATTCTTAATTGTGCTAATTAAAGAGGTGGTTCCAAAATCTTTGCCCTGGTTACTATTACTCGTCTGTTAAAAGCAGATTAGATGTATGATGTAATCCTAACTTCATCATTCATGGAAAATAGATGAAAAGAGAATTCTTGCTGCATCCTTTAACATTTAGACAGAGAAATAAACACCACAGAGTATGCTACATCTATTTCATATCTGGATATTTTACTGACTATAGGTGATAATGCCAACTAAGGCCATTCCAAGTTTTTTCTCTGTTTAGCATCCACCCATCTTTCAAAAACCTACCTACCCATTCGCAAAAAACACACAAACCAAAAAAATAAAACACAGACTTTATAGTCGTAAAAATGATGTCATTCAAAAGATTTGATTTGATAAATCTATTTCCCTTGTTGAAAGATCTATTCTTAGCAAAACCGAGGTAATAAATGCTTTAAATATTCCTAATATGACATACTGTAGACAAATATTTATAGAAATTAACAGAATTCAAAGATTTTGACCAGAATAACCGATTTCAGGACTCCTGATTCTGTTTGTTTTTTCTGATATGGGATGTCAAAAACCAAAGCGCACACGGACGCTAAACATAGAAAAAACTTGGAATGGCCTAATAACTAAACTGTATGACAAACGGGATGACTTCAGCTTTTCCATCGTTCAACTTCCCTTATATGTAGTAATATTTCAACATCACCTGAATATGGTGTTTAAGTCTCCAAATTGATTTATTACACAAGGACAAGCTCCAAGTACGATCAGTTTTTAAACAGAGGCAGGCTACTGACAAAGAAGTTGATTTAAACCTCATTTACAGTAAGCGTTTTTTTTTTTTTTGCAAATTCTAAGGTCGTTATAATGCATTGTTTGCAAATACAACCTATCGTTGGGTTGTATTTTGTCCAATATATTTCATACCAATTGGTTTGACCAGTCGACAGAGGATGCTTACTCCTGGGCACCTGATCCTGCTTCTCATTTCAAGGGGTTGGTGTTTTTACCCTGTTCATGATTCATATTCTTCACTGGATTTATGAGACTGATCACTGTTTGTTAACTACATCTTTTTCATGAAGTGTGTCAATAACAATATTTTTTAGGTCATCTACTTTATAATACATGTACTAACTTGAAAAACATAGTTCACATAGCACTGAAACATGTTTGGTAGTATTATCAGAATTTCATCCCTTCATACGTAATGCATGCTAAGATCAGGAAGGATTTATTGTTCCTTACAAACTGAACACATATATTCAACCTGTTACAATGATACTACAAATAGAGCATTCTGCAAAGCTTTTTCCAGTTACTGAGGTAAGCTAAAAATTGCACAAAAAACTCTTATATTTAAATGAATCAGTTTAATAATGCTACACACAAAATGAATGACATGATAAACTGTTTGGTTTTAAGATTTTAAAAGTTCATCAAAAAAATACAACAAAAGATGAAGACGCAACAGTCATTGCTCAGTATCTGCCATGTCTTCCATCCCTTTCTCTGGACCTTCTCCTCTCTCTACTACGTGACCTTGACCTACGTTCCCGTGACCTTGATCGCCGACGCTCTCTACTGCGGCTCCTGCTTCGTCTTGTAGGTGGTGATCGTGAACGTGATCTATAAATAAATTTTAATATGTTAGTGTAAATTTATTTGAGTACTTTTTAAATAATCAATAAATTTCAGTTTAACAAACAGAAGGAACAATCTACTGAGGTTTTCTTACCTTCTAACCTTTCGACGACTTCTGCCATAGAGTTCACGTCTCAATTCTCTGGAAATCGGCTTCAAGTGCATAAAGTTACAAAAACCACCACGAGTACACTCACTTTAAACAGACAGAAATGTACAATGTTAGTATAATCATAACATTATATGGGCCATGGAAGATATTTACATAATAAATTCCTAATTAACCAAAAATAGGCATGACAATAAATCCCTTTGAAATGATTGTCTTACCCCATTTCATACTGCCGACAACATGCTTCTCGGAAGTCTGTGACTGGTGACAATTCTGCATGAACTGGTCGGCCATTGAACCAGCGATTGTTCAATTCATTCACAGCTTTTTCTGCATCTTCCTCATATCGAAACTGAAACCAAATTGTTTACATTCAAGGACCATTTTATATGTACTATAATACATGTATTATGTAGTAAGTTTTTTTTTTTGATTTGCTGTAAAAATATTGATGCAGTACTGTAAACCTGAACAAATCAATGCCATTTGACAGATTTGTTTAGATCATATGCAAGATTTCATGCAGGGGTACAGGCATTTTGTATGTAAGAAAGAAACAATGAAAAAATTGGCCTCTGATTCTATAAGTTGCCTTTCTAAACTATCACTAAAAATTTGCTAGACAGTGTTTTCCTCACCTTAACATAGACATTTCCCACCAAATGGTCACCCAGGTTGTCACAGACATTCATTTCTTCTATCTCTCCATACTGAAAAACAAAAACCACCAATCTATCCCAGCTTACAGCTTCTGTCTCAGAATAACAATTTATAATTTACAATTTTATAATTCCCAATTTACAAAGATTTAACTATTCCATTTACTTAATACTGCTTCACAGCAGAATAAATATTTCAAATAAAACTGTTGTCAAAATTTTTATTTCTTTGTACCATACGACACATCAGAATACATAGTAATTACTAACTGTACTGCTTGTATGTGTCCCCTTCACAGGTGGATAAATATCAATGAGAACCATCTAGTGACAAAATTTACCTGTGCCAAACACCATATATATGACTACATGTACTCAATTAGGAATCTAGCTCTGTATATTTGTGTAATTTCAATGGACTTTAAATATGTATTCTTATGTACGTAACACATTATTAGGGGGCTTCAGGTCCTACCTTCTCCAATTCTACATAAACTTCTTCAAAGAATTCATCATAAAATTGTTGTAATTCTGTATCGTCCATCTGGACTACAATGAATAGAAAACAGAAAAAAGCTAGAGCTGCCAGAGGAATGGACAGATTAGGTCTTATCTCTACATTATAAATCTACAAGAAAAAACATCAGTATTCTCTGCAGTTAAACCAGGCTTTGGTTTGTGAAACATGACATTTTTATTTGTTTCAACTTACCTTTCTTATTCTTTGACACAAGCAGAAGCACAGAGGTCATGTTAAAAGAAATGCAATTATTCTACAGGGAAAAAAATATCCCCCCAGAGAAAGAAGCTCTAAGTAATGCAGTGTGTTTGCCACAAATAAAAATGTCATGAATGGTCTTCTCTGGCAGCACCACTGATTTCTACAAAACAAAAGGGACAACACACGTGGCCGACCTTTCACCTTATAAAGGACAGGGCCATTGGTCAAAATCCCATCAAACTTTGTACAATGTTTATATTACCAAAATATAATCTGCCAAAAATTATTCAGACAATATTCTATCTTTCATGGAGTTGTCTTTTTCTATTTAAATAAACAGATACTGTCATAATCTTGAGGAAAATTGTATGAATTGGACAAAAAAAAAAATCATTGCACAAAGTTTGCTGTCAAGAACCACCTCCACTTGGAGAGGAGTTAACCCTCAATTGACAAAAAAAAGTAGAGGAGAAATAGGCCGACATCGAGGCGAGACCCATCTGTTTGTGCTGAATGAAGAGGATGCAACACTGTTACGTTACCTTATCCTCTAACTCAGTAAAAACTTCCTCGAAAAAATCATCATAATTTTGCTGGCCTTGTACATCATCCACAGGAACTGAAAATCAATGCACAAACACTGACTCCAACTTATTATCATCATCCATGAATACATTAAATTCATACATTTATGAGTTGCATGTGCACATAGAATTCATGTGCTTTAGGTATGCTTTTGGCATGAATACATGTGCATGAAGGAAAGTACATGTTCAATTTAAGAAAAAAAATTATATGCTGATAGTAAGGATTCTGAGATATATTGAAAGGGCAGATCTGTTAGAGAGCTTTAAATGGTTCATATTTGTTTCTAATTGAGGTCCAACAAAGTATATGTTGCAGAGTAACAGATTTAAAGTTTTTTCCCATAATTTTTCTGTCTCCGGGATCACTTCTAAGAATTTAAAATATTTGTATTTTCTCCTGAATCTTTTTTTTTTCAATAGATAATGAAATGACTGAAAAATAATCCAGACTTTAAAAATACAGTGCAGGGTTTTATTGCTACCTTTTAGTCTCTCTTCATATACTGTACCTACTACCATGGGAGTGTCTTTGTCAGTATCAATCTTGGTTTGATTCTGATGTAGACATTTTTTGTATATAATACACCCTGTTTAATATGGAACAGTGGATGATTCCTTTGACATTTAGAACTTCAATGATTCATTTCTTGCTTCCTGTGTATGATACCTGCCTAAGGCATACCTAGAGCATTGATTCAAAGGCTTTTAAGCTGTACCTATAGATTTTATTTTTTGTGTTTGCTCTAATAAAAACATATGAATATAAATTAAACATGTACTTGTGTCACAACAAAAAATACTACATGTATCAGGTATCCATTGTGTGAAGCAATGATAAAATGGATATAAAAAATATTGTAAATTTTCTGACATTAAAAATTTACTTGTTTTCATATCTATTTAAAATTCAAGTTTTCATTCAAACACAAATTTTAAAGAAAGTTACAGAATCTTAAAGTTGGGCACTGGATGGTAATTGTACGTATCAATAGAGGGAATTGTACACTATTTCTAAAACTTACTATGAGATCCATCTGCAGTCAGTGCTGTGTTCTGAGGGTTCATGTACAAATTCTCAATTAGTACTGTCTATAAAGAGAATAAAACATTGATCTGTCTTCTCAATTTATTCAAACAAAAAGAAAGGAAGTCAAAATTGCAAAATTCAGAGAGTAATTGTACCTACCTGACTGAAAGTGGGTTTGTTGTGAAGACGTGAACAGCGTTCTCCATGTCGACAAGCTCCAATTTTGAAGTAAAATGAACAGTTTACCCTGAAATATATTATGTATCAAATAATGTATATATAAGTGAAAGGAAAATTTCTCAGGGAATGTAATCATATACAATCAAACACTTTGGCCTCAATCAAACTAGATGCTTGGAATGAATCAACATGACAGAAAACTTCCAACAAATTAATTCAATCACTTTGGCTTCAATCAAACTAGATGCTTGAATGAATCAACATGACAGAAAATTTCCAACAAATTAATTCAATATAGAACAACATACTCTGCATATTTTTCATAGTTTTATTTGTATCTGGGTGGTGGGTACTCAGAAATTTTTGTAACTTGTGATTGGTCATCAACAAAATTATTTTGTTAAAAACTCTGATTCTACACAAAAGTACTGTAAATTTTATATCAAAAGGATGCTAGAGTCCCTCATTGACAACACCTATGTAGTTCTCACAGACCAGATCTTCTAACAAACTTGGAATTTCTATGGGCACTAATTGTGCTCCTTTATTAACATACTTTTTTAATATTCCTATAGAGCAGAATTTATTCAAAAACTTCTGCAGGAGAAGAAAACATTTGCTGTGGCTTCCAACTTGACATTCAGACATATTCAAATATATCCACAAGGTCTTATCAATTAACAATATTTACTTCCATTCATATGTTGACTTGATATATTTCAGTGAACTTGAAATACATGTAAAAGACACCACAGAGTCTGCCACATCTGTTTAATATTTGGATGTTTACTCACTATAGACTATAAGACCAACTAACGACTAAATTGTATAACAAACAAGATGACTTCAACTTTTACATCCTCAACTTTCCTTATTTATGTATCATAAATCTGCTAACAACTGGACATGGTGTTTATGTCTCCCAACTTATTTGATACTTAATTGCATGCTCCAATTACAATCATTTTTTTAAACCAAGGCAGGCTACTGACAAATAAGTTGATGTTACAGGAATTTTAACAACCTTGTTAAAGTCAAGGATTTATCAGCCTATTTTGGGAAAGGCCATTTTTGGGGAATTGGGAAAATATTATTGGCTATTTGATGAAATTGGGAAAAATTTAAAATGTTGCTTAAATCATGTATTCAGGTGTTATTCATTTAACATTTCAGCATGAACTCTAATTTGGGCACCCAAACAGACAATTATAAATATGATCCAACTTCATCACATAAGATCAATTATGAAAAATAGACCAATAAACGTAAAATTGACTTCAACGAGTATAAAACATTTACCTATGCAACTTAGGGTAGTACATGTGTGTATGAGATTCCAATTTCGGTCATTACAGAATCTTTTTCTGGAGATTATAAACCTACTACAAAAAATTATACAAAGTACACATTTTCTCCGTCCTCTTTTAATATGTATTAAAACATTGAAAATATATTTTTCTATCTGAAATAATGCCTACAGTCTTTACCATTCACTTGTAGATCAATTGAGTAGGTGGATATAATTTAATAAATCTATACAGTTACACAATATCACCATTTTCAGAAAAAACAGAGGAAATTCGGATTAAAAGTTGGCGATGTTTTTACAGCATTTTTAAACATGTGTTATGACTGTAGCTTTGCTAAATGAGTTATAGATGAAAATTAAAGACAATCTGACAATTTTACTCTGTGTTTTTCCAAGATAATTAAATATAAAAGCATTGTTCACCAATTTGGGAAAAAATACTGCCAAATTGGGAAAAACTGAACTCATTTTCAATTGGGATTGGTGCTGAATTTCGGCCCCTGAGAAGGTACTAATAAATCCCTGAAAGTCAGCATTTCGTAAATTCTATGGTCATTATAATGACCTTGTTAACAAATATAACCTATCATTGGGTCATATTTTGGCTGACATGTTTCATATCAATTGTTAGGCCTTAGTTTTTACACTAAATTTGATGATGGAATGTTCATCAATACATAGGAATCAAAGCAGGTGTGGCTGGTCAACAGTGGATGATTACTCCTCCTTGGCACCTGATTCCACCTCTAGAGGTCCTTGTTTTATGCCCTGTTCACAGATTTTTATTGTTTGTAGATTTTTTGAGATTGATCACTGTTCGTTATCTTCACCTTTTTCATTTAAAAGAACTAGTCAAAAAAAGTTATTAAGTAAACAATATAATAATCTTAATTTTTTTTCCTTAAGATGCCACATTTTTTCCATGAACTACATATTTAGAGACAAACTATAATAATGGTCTTGGGATAGATGTATAGGGTAGACTGTCAAATTTCGAAAAATGAATAACAGTTTTTAGCATTAAAAAAAAAAAAAACACTGTATAATTGAACTGTACCATCTTATCAGAAATTTGTTAGGATGTCTACTGAATTTCAGGGTAACTGATTTACTTTCCAATGTTTTTGACTAATATTTTTGCAGCCTTTTTCATTCATTTTGGGAAGAATTTTACATTGAAATCTTAAAACATTTGTGAAAATGGTTAAGGACATATGCAATGTATTTTAAGCTTTAATTTCTTATTTCCTGTACAATAGCTTCATAAGTCCCACACTTATAATGTCAGTATATGATCTTGTGCACCTCTTCTCAACAATTTTTAGGAAATACCAGCTATGATACATTTTTGGTAATATTAGCACATTTTTTTTTCTTTTTCAAAGAAAGTGGCTACCTTCGGCCACATACCTCAGATCACTTGACTAAACACTATAATCTAGTGTTATGGTGGTTTAATTTAAAAGAATGTATCTTGATCTACTAAATATTAACTCATCTCAGGTGGTAAGTGAAGACTGACCCTAACCTCTTGGGTAGGCGCATTTCAAAATGCCTGCTTTTCAGTAGGGAAATTGGGACGAATTTAGGTCACCAGCAGATTTTAATTCACCATGTGGGAAAACAAGATATAAAATCTACACCTCCACACCAGTTGTCAAATTGGCTAAATTGCCAATGAAAAAAACCTTTGAAAAACTCCTAAATTTTAACAAATTTTATATCTTCCCACTATATTCTAAAACTGGCAAGTTCCTTGCCTTAGGTTTAAACTGACGAGATTGGCATACACTGGTAAACCTAGATAGAACGTTCTATCGTTAAAATGACATTGTCCTACGGACCCGGTTTAACGATAGAATTCGTTCCGTGTATTGGCAATGTAGCAAAATAAACACGGGCGATAACTCGAACTCTGTGCATTTTCTATGAACAATCCAGAGAGTTCCGAATGTCAACATGGCGTTAAATTTGAAGCGAGGAAAAAATGTTGAGAAAATGAGTTGAATTTTCGTATTTATATGGATTATTTTTTAGGTTAAAAGGCATATACAATCTCAAAAAGGTTTGTTATGATTAACTTGGTTGTTATTTTCAGTGCAACTCCTTTTGTATTCTTCAAAATCATTTCGGAGTGGATCCACTCCGATTTGCTACATTGCAAGTATATGGGACGTATTCTAACTGTGGTGAGGGCTTGTCCCGAGACACAGTTAGATTATTCTAACTATGGTAAACCTTCCCCCATCAAATAAAGCAACAAGCTGGGTTACGAAAGGTCAAATGGTACATTCAGCATAAGCCAGTTTGAAAATTAAGTAAAATCTCTGTGGTTTTATCTAGATTTGGGCTTGGATTTTTATGTCTCTGATAAAACAAGTAAGACATGATTTCCAAATGATCTGACATCAAAATGGAGTTTCTTAATTCAAGTCATTCTCTAAAACAAACGTAATATACAAACAAAATATAAGTACACTATATCTATTATGAATCTCAAATTTGTTTTCCTGTTTTTTTTTTCTTTTTTTTACCGTACAGATACAAAATCTGCAGCTAGCTGCAAAAATCAATCTGGATCTGGTTTTGTTATATTTAACTAATTTCAGAATTTCATGAAACATCTGTAAAAATGATATTGTAAAATTAACTATAGTTATCATCAAATGCTTAAAAACAGGCCTTATACTACTGAATATGAAGCTGGAAATTAGCATTACTTGTCCTTTTCTGTGCCAAAAATCGACGCAAGGTACTCAGCCATGTTTTCGACTAACGCGGAAACTATGACGTAGCACACAAGTGCACAGTTTCCGTGACGTAGTTTGCATTCAGTGTCAGAGAAGGAAGAAGTGGACGATATGAGAGATTGATTTTTAGAACAATTACAGTATTTAAACGGTGTGTATATTAATTAAAACATTAAATTAATATTTTGTTTATAAAGTACATCAAACCAAGGACTTACAAGGGACAATCTTCAGCAATTTTACCAGCAAGATAGTTTTAACATCCCAAATTTGTATCCATTATTCATTTTGGTTTTTAGCCAGTTAAATAAAATGTCTTTTACATTTGACAGCTTGAAAAATCATTTTACATCTAACAGAAGGTATTACCTTTTTATTGCCATGAAGGTAGAGGACTAAATGTTTTTGTCAAGTCTGAGTTATATCTATCTGCGAAAACATTAATCATATTAATATATATCTGCAGAACTGTATTGTTATGGTTTTATATTTTAGTCTTTGACCATAACACCACAGATCCCGTAATGTAAATGAAGTGCAATTTATGGCACAAGATTTTCTGCACACTTTGGGGATGTATTTTGCCAATTTCCAGCAGTAGTTAATCAACGACCCTTCATCCCCTAATTTTAGACATATTCTATAACCAACCTGTATATTTTATCCACCTCCTAACCCTTTATAGTCATCTCTACAGACCAATAAATTCGCTTGTTGTGAATTTGTTGTCAGATGGCTAACGAGTTTATTGGTCTGTAGACCAATGCTGGAAAGTGGGGAAATACATCTCCAAAGTGTGCAGAAAATCTTGCTCCATAAATTGTACTTTATTTACATTACAGGATCTGTAGCAGTATGGTCAAAGACTAAAATATAAAACCATAATGCTACAGTTCTGCAACTAGTTAATATATTCAAGATATCGGGGTTTTAATTTTAAGCCTGGCATACTAGCCTACCTAGGCAAATTCTTCAATTTTGGCATTTTAATTATATATACCCTTTCCTATGTATTCAGATGAAAAAAATTGTTGTTAATCTATTTAGTGATGTATTACAACTGAATTTTAACAACATTAAAGTATTTTAAAACAGTTTTGTAAATTTTCTTCATATAAATGAATTTTCTTAAAAATGTCACTCAGATATTTTTTAAGTGTACAATGTATGTAGCTGCAAAACTGCATCTCTCTTGGACAGAAAAATTGGACAGACATACCATATCTAGTATTTATCTACACTTCTGAAGCTAAAATATATCCTGCTTTAACATTTTAATACCAATTTTACTCATTTAAAAATCTCACAAATAGTAATGGTTTGAAATGAGAATATGATACAGTCTGAGATCAAGTTTGGAGAAATCTCAGCCCAGATGCTTGCTGCTGTCTTTATTCACTCAATCATATATTTTAATAATGTTTATTAAGTGCAAAATATTTCTGTAGATTCAAAACTTATCTTTCTGGTGCAGAAAAGAACGAGTGCACTCATGGGCCCCGGTAAAATGTGAAAAAATGAAGAATCAAATGAAACTTAATTTGCCATCTCAAATCATTAATCGATATCTAAACCATAAGAATCAACAAATTTTATCACTGGTATTCATGAATATACAAAGAGAAAAGCCATACAATGTGGTAGGGGTCAGTCGACATTCATGATTTTCTATAGTAAATCGACTACGGTCATTCATTTCAAAGCTTTTGTTTTCTGTCAGCCTAATGTTGTACAAACTTGTGCGAATGACAAAAAACGCATTATACATTTATAAAACTTGTGTGAAAGTAGGAAATTTGTACAAGATTAGGCTGGTACTTAAAATATTAAAAATGTATGTAAAGTTCAACATTTTTCCTATAGCAAGCAAGAGCTATTTACCTGTATGACCTGTGTTGAACCCACCTGTGGAATAAATTATTTAAAATAACGGTAGTCACATGAGTTCTACCCAGGTAAACATTCCACAAATGTGCTCACTGTAAAACATAGCCACGTTTTATATCATTATATCAAAGTCGTACCGCTTAGAGATGTTGTATGTATTTGGTTTTAGGAACACGGGAGGGTTAGGAGTGTTTAGTCGTTAAAATGTCATCATACATAAAAGTGTCAAACATTTTTAACATTCATGCAAGACAATGGTACCGGTATTGAAAGCCACCTAAATACAATTTTTTCTTTTCAAAATTTAAAGGAACTAATGTTAATACTTATTGCATTTTTTCAAATGCAAGCATGCAAATTTCTTAGTTTGATCACTATGGCTACAGGCATCTATAAACTTCATTCGATTTTTTACAGGTAAAATAGCGCAAGAAGTATTCGGCAAACGCGCCCGTCAATGATCCACCATCAGATTGTTCAAGTGTCAATTTAAATGTCTCCTCCCCTTGATTTAAATAAACGAAACTCAAAATAGGTTCGATACGACTTTTCCGGATTTGGGGTATCTATAGGCATTAAAACTCTTCATTTGTTTTAAATCCATGCTGATTTAGGTGACATTTTAGCGTAATTTTTAATTAGAAATATCCACTTGTGTTTAACTATTACCAAAAGAGAACGATTTGGTCATATATTCTAAAGTAAAACAGCTCTGAAAAAGGGCCCATTAAGCATTGCTTAAGTGCACTTGTCCTTTGGACAGACATACCAGACCTGGGACAGAAAATTCAAACAGACATACCATCTCTGGTATATCTCTCTGAATTTTCTGTCTCAGAGAGCCACAGTTAGCAGCTAAAATATATGTTGCTTTAACATTTTAATTTAATTCCAATTTTACTCTTTTAAAGCTATATATAATTTATTCCTATTCATGGTATGCATAACTATAAAGAAAAGATACTCTATGGTCATAGTCCTGGTGTAGATGAAGATTTAAAGCTATATATGGTGTATCTGAGCTAAAAAATAAAAATACGAGATTGAGTGAAGATCGAGATTGAGTGAAGATAAAATGATATATGTTATTTACATTCAAATTTAAATTTTCACGGATTTTAAACATGAATAACCTCATGTTTCTATTGTCAAACTGACCTTAAATTATGTCTGTTATTTAAATCCGGAGGCAGTAAATAAATCAGTTTTTGTTTTAAATTTCTAATATCTTTGAAACGTGATTGATTTAAATTGTGTAATTTACAGGAAAGTCCTATCTTTACTTAAAGTAATAAAACAACTAGAAAGATCTTTTTAATTTTAGTTAGTCTGAACTTATAAAAGATATGCCATATATGACTTTAAAAATCACACACACACACACACACACACACAAATGGTTTGAAATGAGAATGTAATACAGCCATTGTTACAAGGCAAGTTGGAGAAATCTCAGCCCCAGATGCTTGCCGCTATCTTAACAAGTCCAAAATGTATCAGGGCTGTTACACTACTAGATATATGATATGTCTAAGTTAATGTCTTCTGGAACATATAATCTTACTGAGGTTGGAGAAGAAAACCAGTCCATTTATTGCATAGCAATATTTGCATTTTAATTAAACTCTTTTATGTTACAGTGATTAACAATGGATTTGGCAAAAGTGAAAAATGAAGACAAATTAGACTTGTGCAGAAAGTATTACATTGGTAAGTCTTTAAAAAAAATGAGAGATATCTTTTGCATCAATCTATTTTTGATTTCAAAAACCGTATTTGCTCTCAAGTAAGCTCCCTCCTTTTTTTTCTAATGTAAATTAATGTGCTAGTAAATCATTTATTTTTTAACCAGGTGGCTTTGCTTTCCTGCCTTTTTTATGGTTTATCAACTCTGTCTGGTTCTTCAGGGAGGCCTTCCTAAAACCAGAATACCAAGAACAAAAACAAATCAAGACATGTAAGTTAGGAACCTGTTAGACCACAGGGGTTCTTCAACATTTATTTTATGATGCAAATTTCAAGAAAAGCTGTTTAATCAAGAAAACCAAAATAAATTTTGAATTTGTTAAACCAAATCATGTTCTTATATATAACTCATGAACATGTAGAATAATAATCCTTGTAACATCTTTATAAAAATTATTTTTAAATATACCTATAAAATATTACTGATCCTGAAAGAATGTATATGATACTATGTTTTCAGATGTAATACGGTCAATGATTGGAACAGTGATATGGATAGCCATTATAACAACTTGGGTGGTTCTTTTCCAGACCAATAGGGTGGCATGGGGGATCACTGCAGACAAAATATCATTCCTTATTCCTACAGGAATACCATGAAAATGGTAACATTGTAAGCTAGCTTATCTTTGCTTCCCTGAATTTTTTAATGGATTTAACAAGTGCCATTGATACCAGTTTTCTATGTTACTTGATACATGGATTTTTTTTTATTTTAGGATAATTCAGAACCATGCAAACTCATAAAGAAGTATCATTGAATGATTCTCTAATAAGAATAGCCAAATTCAAAACAGTCAGTTACATTCTTATCATTGAAGATCTCTTTGTCTAAAGGACGACATGTAGTCTGCTTCAAAATGTAAATACAATTATAAATGTGTTTAAGAGGTGTATTTATTTTTAAACTTGGTGCTCGTGAACAAGTTTACAAGTGATCTGTGTTGTACACTTGGCCTAGAAGACATAGATCATTTGAGAAGTCTTTTGCCAAAGCTGTATACATTGTATCTTAATAGTGAAATGTAATATGTGTGTGAAAAGCTCATATAAATGTAAACGTAGTTGCCAAGAGAGAGAGAGAGAGAGAGAGAGAGAATAGCTTTATGTAATTTCTACTAGAATAAAAGACAGATTGAACTGTTATAAAATATTACAGATGTTGTGTACGACCTTTTTCATTTCTTATTCAATCATATATGGTCTTACTTAATTATGCACATACTGTGAAATCATTTAAATTCTTGGGGATCAATATTTGTGGGCAACCAACATTCTACTGGTTCATAAGGACAAAATTTTATGGGTAAGCTGTATGTACAGAAGATTCAGTGAACAAAATACTACTACTTTGATAAAGTTATAGTATGTAGGGATGAACATTCATGGGCAAGGGTTACCTATGAACATTGGTCTCCCATGAACATTGATGATTCCACAGCAATTGAGTATAAATACCAAATGAAATTTCTCTGAAAATCTACGATAAATAATAGTGTGCAGTGAAAATGTGTATTTTCGACTGATCCAAATACATGTCTACTAAGTTACCCGAGTAATTAATCAAACAAGAGGCCCAGGGGCCCTATTGCTCATCTGAGCACTTTGGCTAGGAAAAAGCAGAAATCAGTTCAGTCTTGAAAGTTTAAATATAAAAGTGGTTTCGAAGAGGGTGGGGGGTATGATTTGAACTAACTTGAATCTACACTTCCTACAGATGCTTTAGCATTAATATGACACATAATGGCTTTGCTGTTCTTAAGAAGAAAATTTTTATTGATATATCCCTTATATTCATTTGTATAACTAGGATCCCCTGTTATGGCCCCTCTCTTCTCCTGGGGGGGGGGGGGGGGGGGGGGGGGTCATGATTTGAACAAATTTGAATCTACATTACCGGAGGATGCTTCCATTTAAATACAAGTAATTGTTGCTTTGCTGTTCTTGAGAGGAAGATTTTTAAAGATTTTTCCCATGTATTGCTTTGTAAAACTTTGATCGACCATTGTGGCCCTCAAACTCTACCCCCAGGGGTCATGATTTGAACATATTTGATTTTACACTACCCAGGGATGCTTCCATATAAATATGACCAATCATGACTTTGCTGTTCTTAAGAAGATTTTTAAAGATTTTCCCCATGTATTCCTATGTAAAACTTTGATCGCCCATTGTGGCCCTACCCTACCCCTGGGGGTCATAATATGAATAAACTTGAATCTACACTACCTCACAGTGATTCCACATAAGTTTCATATTTTCAAGCACAGTAGTTGTTGGGAAGATTTAAATGATGCCATTAATTTTTCATGAATTCATATTATCTCCCCTTTGAAGAAGGCATGGCCCTTCATTTGAACAAACTTGAATTCCCTTCACCCAAGAATACTTTGTGGCAAGTTTGGTTGAAATTGGCTTAGTGGTTCTTGAGAAGATGATGAAAATGTGAAAAGTTTATGACGACTACAACTATACAGACAAATTTCAATCAGAAAAACTCACTTGAGCCAAGTTCAGCTCAGGTGAGCTAATAATAAACAAAAACAACACCTTTTTAAATGATATACTTTAATTTTAATAACACTGTCATTCTGGCATGCAGTCATGAACAGAAATGAATGGAAAACAATGCACCATATTCATTTATAATTTTATGTACATAATTATTATTTAGGTTTCACATTTTTTTTTTTTTAAATTGAAAGTTCTGTTTAAATAGCAAAAATTCCAATTCAAATAAAATCAAAACAGTATTGATTGTTCAATAATAAGCAGAGAAGATTTTTATTACAATGTACATTAATTTTATGATTGCTTCCAAGTAAGTATGATTATTAATCAGTAAGTAAAATAAATCTATATACAAATCAAGTATCACACAGAGCGAGTCAGTACGACAAGTGTTCATTTCAATTAATGCTAAAAAAAATCTGTCTTGTGTGTAGTGGTGAAAATTTAAATGTGCATAACAGATGACGGATTTAAGGAAATTTATTGGTTATTATCTGGAGATAAGTTATAACCATGTTTTACTTAAAGTCTAGTACCTCGTTTGTTGAGCACTATATTCCACCATTATAACAAAGTAACTACTTTCTGCTCAAAGCAGCTGTGCTAATCATTGTAAGTTATATTATTTAAAGTGCTATACACACAATTTTTGAAACATTGTCAATGCATTATAATATAATTAGAAATGAATTGATTTGTCAAAGCTAAGCTTTATTAGGGATTTTATGATTTGCTGCACTTAAAATATACTGGTAGACCAAAATGAATGCTATATACAGGGTGTTCCAAAATATATGTTACATTTTGAAAGTTCAATTTCACAAACACAAGAAAAAAAATAAGACAAGTGTTTTTATCAACTTGATGCATGTATCTATAAGATTCATTATGTACAATTACCAACTAAAATATTACACATTGGACGAAATCCCAAACATTAATGAAAATTAGTGAAATTTCTAAATTACGTCATTTTTGTTACGTTGAATTTCACAATGTCAAAAGCCCATATTATATGTTCTTGATGATCTCCACTATTTCAACTACAAATGAAAGTTGCTTCTCGAAATTTGTATAACCTTGTCACACATTTTTGCTTAGACACTCCTCATTTGAAGGTTTATATGTTTCTTTTGAGCTCATGCAGTATCTGTGGTCTAGGATTGTAGACCCTGTTCCTAAAGAACCCCACAGAAAAAGGCCCAAAGATTGATATTGGCCAATGCAGAGATCAAACTCTTTTCTTGGGATATTGCATTATTGAAAACTTGTACACTGATAACTTCATATCATATTTCAAAGTTCAATATATGCTGGAAATGCTGATATTGCCAGCATCAATTTCTGAAAACATCTATATGACACTTTTCTCAGGAGTTTGCTAAACTATCTAAGAGTCTACACTTCACCAATTAAATCTTCGATTATTGAAGTCTTTAGGCTTTCTGGAGCACCGTGTCATTTATCGCATATTGCTCGTCCCTGTCCTTTAACCTTGTTAATAGCCTTCTGATAAGCATTTTAAAAAGCTTCCATTCTTTTGAATATTTCCTTTATCAACTTCTGAATGAATATTACTTTTTATACTTTTTCATATGGAATGAAAATGCAGGATTTGATGTTTAAAATGATATATAGTTTGTAATAAAATTATGATAGGTAAGAAAAATAATTAGATTTAAAAATGTAACATATATTATGAAACACCCTGTATTAAACACAATACAGACTTATATACCACAGTCTTATGAGTTTGAATTTGTTCATAAATTTTGCACTTCTTACTCTTTGTAAATCAACTTTCTCCCCTGTTTGAATAGTTCTATTGCTTTCAAAAGGTTGAAAAAAAAAATAGTGAAAGGTTGTTGCAGTAAAGGGCTGAATTAAAGACAAGTTTTCAAATTAATGAGCTTCATATAATGAAGGTTTGAAGAAAAAATATCTTCTTGTATGCTTGAATGATGAAATTGAAAAAGAATACTGCAGGAGAAAGCTGATTTACAATACTGGACAAAACTTTAAAACTGTAATGTTCTTCTGTATTTCACATACTATTAGACCTTTCAGGCTGATACAGTAAGAGAAAAAAAAGTGCAATAAAATTTTGACAAAATTTTGTTCATGGTGAAATCATAAACAAGCATTTTCTTGAATTGTCTTTAAAATATATGGCACTCAAAATGAATCTATCTTGATGTTGCCCTCCCGGATGTACAGACAAACAATGTAACAGACTCTCCAATAAACCAGCTCACCATCTAAACCTTAGAAAACTCCTCAGGAAGATTATACAGACCACAGACAAGATTTGCAGGTAAAGCTTTGTCTGAAAACAAGATTAAGTGTAGTTATTGCTACAGTAACTGAAAAATAAGTGCATTAGTGCCAGTAAATGAAATAGGAGTACTAAAAAGAAAGAGGCCCATGGGTCACAATGCTCTCCTGAGTCCCCTTAGCCCTGCTTTCTTCAGATGATATTTATAAGATTTTCCTCCCTCTTTTTCTTCATTTCTATGAATTTCAAACCCCATACTGTGGCCAAAACTATAGCCTCAAGGGATTACATTGTATGACTTGACACAACTTAAATCTACTCAATACTAAGAAGTTTCAATATCTATATGACAAAGATTTTTAAAACTATTTTTCCTTTATACATGCATTGTGTAAAATTTGATTACCAATATTAGCCACGAATTAAAAAAAATTAAAATGTTTGCATATATATATATATATATATATATATATATATATATATATATATATATATATATATATATATATATATATGACTGCCGTCATGAGAAAAGGGCCCTTATCTTTTGACGTCACAATGCCCAGAAAACGACGTCAAAGTCGCGGTATTGTGCGTTTCATGAACAAGAAATGAAATTGGATTTCCATGTGTTACAAGAAAAACATTAAAATCATACGAAATTTGATGCGGAAATTTTTAATGAATAATATAATTACACACTAGAACGTGTATTTATTAATTACTTTGTTTGAGTATTTAACTTGATATCACATAATTAAGCTAAACGCGACATTGAACTCATTTTTAATTACTACTCCGTCGACAATTTATAGCGATGTGTTTCTCTGACAGGCCCGTAGGAAGCAATTTCACTTTGGGTAGGGTGGGGGGGGGGGCACAGCGATACATTTTCAGTGGAGGGGGCACTATCAACTACCAAACAAGCAAAAAAAAGGTCATCAGACGTTTTTATTGAGGGGGCACAAGCATACAGTATCTATGTTTTCTATAGTAATCTATATATCGGCAAAATTTATGGGGCACGGCCCCCGTACCCCCCCCCCCCCCCTCCGGTTCCTACGGCCATGTCTGATGCATCACTAAAGATACTGAATATTTGTTGTCGGAGCAATTAGCAAATGTTTAAATTTGACTAATATTCAGTACACTAAGTCTTTTTAAATGGTATTCTACAAACACGTATATATTTTTGTTCAGAGAGAGAGAGAGATCAATGCATATATACACTTCTTTATTCTAAAAAAAAATACCTTCATGTAAAATGAATTTAACCATTTTAACACATAGTTAATCATATCCATATGCGCAGTTAGACCAGCTCAGGGTGAAGCGTCAATATCCAAATGTGTGTTGGGGGGGGGGGGGCAGAGATCATTGAAAAGGGAAAAAAAAATCTGCGAATAAAAAAGCAATCGGTAAAAATTCATTCTAAAAAGAGAACCTTTCTTTTTTATGCGATGGGGGGTATAGATACTGGTATCATGGGAGATTTTCGGACTTCCTACTACAACGAATGAGGGGGGGGGGGCAAACGGCCCCTATATAGATAATTCTTTGTTAAATTCACTGCAAGAGAATATGCAACGGAAGAGGGGGTGCCCCCCCCCCCCCCCCCCCCCCCCCCCCCCCCGGCCTTTTACGGGCCTGTTAAGTCTTGCAAGATATTCGGTTTCAATTTCAAATAGATTTCATAAAAAATGTAATTCAACTGTATTTCATTTCGCTCAGAAAAGTCCGTTTAGTATTTATATATATAACAAAAGAGCCAAGAGCAGTACAACCATCTCTTTGATCAAACTATACAATATATACATAAACCATAATGATTTTTTTTTTTAGATTAACGGCCCTTTTAAGAAATGATGAACGATAATTAATGTGTTCAAGTGATACAACAGTAGTGTCTAGGACACAGGTGCCTCATAATAATTTTTAAAAAAAAAGGATCAAAGTACAGAAGCATTTATAACCTCTTTTGATTATGTGTGATTTGCTAAAAAGTAAGAAATTGGCAAAAAATTAAATTTTCATGTAAGGAATAAACTTTCATAAAACAATCCTTTGACATCATTATTTGCCTCTTTTTTATGTTTCTACATCATATCTAAGACAGGTGAAAAATTGAATTGTATAAACAAAGGAAACTTAATTATTTAAACATTTTATTAAAGTGTTCAAAAAGGCAAAGAAAAATCCCCTTGAAGGTAGTGATCAGATTTTTTTTTATCAATTATGATTTTTTTTTAATGAAACTTTAAAAAAAAGTTTACACATCATGGCGTATCTGAATTTATTTCCCATTTGAATTTTTCGGTGATACAGAAAATACATGAGGTGTTATTATCCCCTCGTAACAAAGTCATAGAGGATAAAGTAACGTGCGTGTTTGTGGATGAGTGAATGCGTGCTTATATCCCAAAATATTTTTTTAGGTCGGGATCGATGTGCTACTTTTGCGAGGTGATTCTCCGCTTTAATTGCACGAGGAACCCTTCTGGGACATCTATATAGATCTTTTTATATTTTAATATTACAACTGCTTTATATCTTTTATAAATTGAAATAGAGTATTAATAATAAAAAGAATACCTTGTGTGGAATTCACAAGTATTAATTTTTCGACTGAATAAAGAAAGGTTCCTAGATCCTGTCTAGACCCCCACCCCTCCCTTTACGAAATTACTAGATCGGCTCTAATATAGTATGAAAAAAAGTATGCGGCTCCCCTTATGAATAATTACATAATCTAGTTGCTTGGAAGAAAAAAAAATCAACTTTATATGTGTTAAAACGATTAAGGTTATTTTAAAAATGTAGTATTTTAAAGAATGCTTGTAAACTGAATTTGACACACGCGACGTCATTACATTTTCAGTGAGTAACGTCAACGTTGTTTTGAAACGGCCTTACTAAAATGCTCATAAAATACTGAAAAGTGAGATATTCTTAAAAATTGTGTATATTTGCATTCAGAAAGAGTCAGGCTATCAAAATTTATCAGAAAGTCAATTTGTGAAATTTTGACCTTAAGGGCCCTTTTCTCAAGACGGCAGTCATATATTTTACCATGTAAAACTTTAATCTTCTACTGTGGCCCCACTCTATCCCCGGAGGCCATGTTTGAACGAACTTGAATGTACACTTACTGGGGATGCTTGCATATCATTTTGAATAATCATGGCCCTGCTGTTCTTCATCAGAAGATTTTTTAGATTTTTTTTTTCTGAATTTATTTTTTTCCATAAAGAGCTTTGATCTATTCTGGTTCCATTCTACCCCTGAAGGCCATGATTTGAACAAATTTGAAACTACATTACCTGAAGATGCTTGCATATTAATATAACTAATCATTGTCCTGTTCTTCATCTTCAGAAGATTTTTAAAGATTTTTTTTCTCTGTTTTCCTATGTAAAGCTTTGATCTCCAATTGTAGCCCCACCCTACCCTGGAGGCCATGATTTAAAGAAACTTGAATCCTCACTACCTGAGGATACTTGTATATAAATATGTCTAATCATGGACTTATTGTTCTTAAGAAAATTTTAAAAGATTTTTTTAATATCTTTTCCCTTGTTAAATCTTGCTCTCCTACTGTGTCCAAACACTACCCCTGGGGTCCACAATTTTAACAAATTTAAATCTACACTATGTCAGGAAGCTTTCAGATAAATTTCTTCTTTTCTAGCCAAGTGGTTCTTGTGAAGATTTTATTAAAACACTGACCCTAGTTTTGCCTTTTCTTGATTTTGGACACAACTCTTTCATAAGGACACTCTTTGAATCCCATTTACCCAAGGATGCTTTGTGGCAATTTTGGTTAAAATTGGTTCAGTGATTCGATCTAGAGAAGAAGTCAAAAATGTAGAAAGTCAACAAACAAACAGACAGATGGATAATTGACAAACTTTGATCAGAAAGGCTCACTTGAGTCTTTTGGTAAGGTGAGCTCAAAATGTTTTGAAGGACAATGAAAACATAAAAAATTTGTCTTGTGCATTATGCACTGTAGATACTTCCTTTTCTTCAATGACGATACATGTTTAACTGCAAGCATTCTCAAGGTTTAGTTGTTACATCACTTACCTATTTGTTTGGGGTATGGAAGGTTCAATTCCTTCATTATCCTCACAAACTCTTCTTTAGACTTGGTCAAACGAGGATTCATGGTTTTTTCCTCAGCCACTGTTGTGCTAGTTTGACCTATGTAGAAATATATCATTTTAGAAATCGAGAGAATTGTGGAAAATCTTTATAGAAATCGAGAGAATTGTGGAAAATCATTATAGAAATAGAGAGAATTGTGAGAAAATTGCACTCAAATGCTAGTTTTCCTTCTTCCATTACATTTGTTTGGATTTATTCATTTTCAAATTACTGGTCTGTAGCTGTATTCAGCAAACACCACTTACGGGTATATAAGAATCACCCTATCTGACCACCAAAATGTGTCTGGCCATTACAAAGAAATATTGGAGATGTAATGGTTTGGGCCATGGATATCAGCCTGGGTAGCTCAGTTGGTAGAGCACCTGACTAGTGATGCAGTTGTCCCGGGTTCGATTCCCGATCCAGCCATACATTTTCTCCTTTCCTGTTACAGATTTGGTGCCTTTGACCACCCCTGGACTTGCAGGTGAAAGTCCTGCCAGGGGCTAATAAGAACTTGGGTTGTGTCTTCGAGGGCGAAGACAATTTAAGGCTCGAGGGAGGGATGTAATGGTTTGGGGGTTACAATTTTAATTTGTGGGGGTCTTTTTTCATGGATAACCAGAATTTATTGGTTTGTGGGGAACTCCAATATGCAGAACTCAGCAGATCATTCAAAGAATTGATACTTTTGCAAAGTTTGTTCGTGTGGATGTAAAATTTGTGGGTAAGGGTGACTCATGAAATCCACAAATATTGGTCCCTCATGAACAATGATGATTCCACAGTATCATTTTTTTCTGGATTATATCTTTGTTATTGAGACATTGGAAGTTCAAACTGACAAAGAGGTTGCTTGTGACATGAAAATGTTCTTGCTGGTCTAGCTGGAATGTTTTTGAAGACCTTTTCATTTATAGTATTATAATTAAAACAAAATTGTTTTCTTTAACCCATAATGCCTTGTGAACATGACCAAGGGCTTCTTAAGGTAGTACACAACACCCATGAAATGTTTTAATGCATAACTTATAAAGTACACCAGAAAAAAAGAATAATTTCACTATAATGTCAATAATGAAGGATCTTTGTAAGAAAAATAATAAGCTGTGACATGTTTCCACCATATTTTTTGAAGAAAATTAGAGACATCCTATATATTGGTCATTCAGGAGCCTACATTTTGGATTGTGTTTGTGCCATCTACATGCCATATGACTGTCTGCTTTTAAATGCAAAATAACTTTTGATCCATTTATACCAGAGACCTGATATTTTGACATATTTATAAGGAGTCTCCATTCTTTTTTTTTTACAATAAAGGTCAAGGTCATATTAAGAGGTCAAAGGTCAAATATAGTGACATCATCTACTGAATCTTGACAGTTTGCAATAGATCAATTGGTTATTTTTAAATAATAAATAAATAATCTCAGGTCCACTGTCTGATTTCATAATCTTTTTTCTGATAGACTATATTTCAGACTATTTTGGCAAAAAATTTCTGGTTGAATTCCTTTCATATTAAATATAAAAAGAGATTTTGTATCCTAGAACAAAATATCAAAGTTTAAACAAAATTGAATTTGAGGAAAAATTTTTTCCTATCTATTGTGTACTACCTTAAGAAGATTGAAATGTAGCAACCTGGTTATCATTTTGTGAGCTGTGTCTCTAGTTTTTATTTAGAATAGATTATAAAAAAATCCTCTGTAAACAACACACATAGATATCTCCAATTACGCGGCTATGTTAAGGCTGTCCGAAGGTTTATATGCATTAGAAATACACTATTATATTTTGAGCTAGATTTTTATTTCAGTTTGTAATCTATGTATACATGTGCAGTAAATTTGTGAAGAGAGTTTAATAACACATTGAGAAAAAGCATGTTTGTGATGTCACATGACTGTGTTGATCATGTGACGGACACTTTTAAATTTTCCTAATTGTTGCACAAAAATCCCATCAGCACAAGTGAAAAACAAATTATTGAGAACAGTTTGTTACATAAATCAATTAAACATATTCTTGGGAATATATATTATAGTGCTGGGGGGCAAGTATGAGTTTTACTTCTTAAGAAAATATTTCACGAGAAATTCAACTTACCCACATACAAGGGAGCATTTTCCACTCTTCATTGCAATTTATACAAAATAGGATAAATTACATACAATCCCCCAGCAAAATTCAGTTAGAGGACATACTTCTCTAGTAGATTCACATAGAATATCTTCAGGTTATCTTTATTAATCACTTGTGCCAGTCTAATATATGCATGATTTATAAATTCTAACTCTGTCTATGGACGTGTAAGGGGAGCGTTTCATATTTATTTATTGCTATTGTTTGAATACGTAGATTTATCAGAAAGAGAAAGGAATAACGATATTGTATTGCAAATAATCACCATCATAACAGCACATAGAAACTTTAACCAACAATTCAGAAACTTGATTTAAACATCAACGTCGAAATAAAATCTACATGCCTTGGGAAGGAATGTAAAAGTTATGACACTTTCCCTGTCATGACTGCTCAAGTTTGCAGTGACTTGACGTCATATTCTATTATGACGTCATATCTTGGTAGTTCAGAGAAGTAACAATGGCTGGTACACTGTGATATTTATCGGACAGCCTTATCCTAGCTGTGTAATTCAAAACAACAGTTAAAAATATCTGTCAGTTTTCATTGCTTTCATATACCTGTGTAGTCATGGGCAGGAAACAGAGTATAGTTTGGAGGAAGGGAGAAAATCTTCTCATGAACAGAGTTGTACAAAGTCTCCGAGCTTCCTGTATGAATAGCAAAAAGAAATAATCTGTACATGTATATCAAAACTCTATCGGTATATGAATAACCGTTTTTGTAGAGATTTTTTGGATGTACTGTTACCATATTAATTTGCTGTATATTTTACCTTCCTGGAAATCTGTTCTGCCACAACCTCTGACCAGTACAGCATCTCCAGTAAAAGCCATTGCTTTCTCATGCCATACATAGGTGACACACCCTGCAGGAAATCCATAACAAATACCCGGTATATATTACAGTGTATATTCTTTATCATGTAGTTTCATTGGTGATGAAACCCCAAATCTCTCTGTTTGAAAATTGAATAGTAGGTATGGAAACATTAGACACCCACACACATACACATAATTACTCTTAGAAAGGCTTTACAATACTAATGCATGTAGTTGCATACATTTGTAATTGCATACATTTGATTAATTACAGTCTATACATCCTTAATATAAAATTAAAAAAAAAAAGAAAAACAAAAAAATTTAGTAAAATTTAAGCACTTTCATTTCAAGCGCTTTTACAATAAGAAACGTAGCAACATAATGTCATGTCATAATAAGCAGAATATTAAACACAAGAGTCTATAGTGACCACATAGTTAAACAATGCAGGAAAACTGTAGAATGAAAATATTGATGTACAAATGTGATAACGATTATGCTAAATTGTTAAGTTTAGGTTTGAAATTATGTATAAAATTTATATGTTTATACATATTTTCAAACCTTTCAGTGCTAAAGCTTTACTAAATATTTTCGTGTTTCTTTTTTAAAATTGTCTCTGTAATTTTACCAATCACTGTTGATTATATTTGTATTTCAGTATAAATGTATATTAGATTTCAGTTGGGGAATCCTACTCTAGAGTTAATTTTCAGGGGGGGGGGGGGGAAATCCTATTTAGTGTCAGGGGTGGGGTGGGGGTTTAGGAATGATATCATATTCTACATGACTGGCACATTCATGTTCATACATCTCATATATCTGACAAACTTTGTTCAGAGAAGTTTACTCAACCTACTACTTCAGATAAAGTACCAGGTAAGTAGGGGATCTATTGAGAATACAGTAAAATAAGAGAAGTCACATGGACCCTTAATTCTGCTTCTTTTATAACCAAGATTCTTTATATCTATATAAGGAACATAGTGAAAAATCTTCTATGGGATTCGTATAAAGTTCCTTATAACCCAGATTACCTCATAAGAGAGTTCTCTATAACCAAGTTTTACTGTATGCATGTATTGATCAAATGCATTCACAAGGGTTTTCATGTGTAGTACCAGTTGCTAAACACTTAAAACAGTATGTTTTATACAAAATGTTGTTTTGTAATGAAATATTAGCTTACCATTTGTATGACCTGGTGTACTTTTCACCTCTATCTCGTATTTACCGAAGGTCAACTTATCCCCTTCTTTAACCTTGACATCTGCTTCTGCCTTACTGGCTGCTGAGATGACACTCTTACATGTGGGGATCTGTTTCTTAATGAGTCCAGTACCAGTGATGTGATCAGCATGCACATGGGTGTTGACTGTAAATATATATACATATAGGCCAGTTAGGTGCACAGATTGTCAGTAACATACAGACTAACAAGGTGTACGTGTCCTTGTTTTATGTGATCTAGCCCACATATTATAGATAAAAAATTTGTCTCAAAATCTATAACCCTGACCTTAATTTGATAATTTAAAACAGTTGACATGGCCATTTCGAATGATAAAGCAAATTGTAAATAAAAGCTTACAGTTTCAAGTAGATCAATTTGATTTAAGTCGAACAGACCGGAGCATTGCCCTATATATAGATAAAAAGTCTAATCTATAAATAGATTCAGGTTAAAAACTAGTTCAGTTCTTGATCAAAATTCAGTAAATACTGTAGACCTTTGTTTAAATTTTGCTATCATTTATATTTTTAAAATTAGATTATCTAAGTTTATTATAAAGTCTCACACCTAGTCAATTTTCAACAAGATATGCTGCATATTATGAATTTAGTTAAGTTTGTCATAATAGACTTTCGCTGAATCTAAAAAAAAAAATTAGTATTAATCCATATACTTACATAACTTTTTTGATTTTAAATAATACTTTGGTTCAGGGAATAATTAAGGTTTATATAAGCACAACTTTAAGGAATAGATCTTTTCCAAGGAGTTTATAACCTAGTCATCCATCCCAAAAATTTTGGTCAAATACATGCAGCATCTAAAGAAAGTCAATGTTTTTGTGCATCTTTTGATGCATCATTCGTGTCAGTTTGGTTAGGGCATATAGTTACTGGGAATGAAACCTGCAACAAAATTTTTAACCTGATCCACTGGCAGTTAAAGTTATTGTAAATTTAGAGTATATGCATCATTACAATTTTATGCATGCACATACTCTATATATAGTGATTTTACATTATATAAATATTGCATGTAGTTGAGTGTAACATTGAAAATTTTCACCCCAAGAAAACCATTGTCAACCGAGGTGCAGCCAAGGTTGACAATGGTTTTTGAGGGGTGAAAATTTTCAATGTTACACTCAACTACATGCAATATTTATTATATTATACTGAATGTTTTATACAAATACATATAATAGTGAACCATGCGCACATAAATTCTGCGCAGTCACTATTTTTTGGAATATCTCCCGTCGTCAAGCAATGTTGACTGTTGCTATGCTGGAGGGCATGGCTTCATCATTCAGCGGGTAATAGTGTTTTTTAACAAATGTTTCTCGATGAATTAGATTCAACTAATATACATGAAAGTATAATATTAACTTTTAATGCCTGTCACCTGATCAGGAAATGGGTTCAGGTTGTGCATCAGAGGCATTCTGTTAGTAAAGCATCCCAGTGGCACCATCTCTGCAACTCTGGTAAAGGAAGGGCTTATGGTTTCCTGGCAATAGGGCCTTCTCCAAAACCTTTTTACTGGTTGATTTCAATAATTATGATCAGATGAAGCATTTGAATTAATTAGGGCCCCACATGAAAATGTGGTACATGTAGCTCTATAGGAATCAAAACCATCTGTCTATCCATCCTTCCATCTAGCTGTCCATCTGTCTGTCAACAATTTTGTTCTGATGTCTTCACTCAAACAGTTTACAATGAACATTTTTAAAATTTTGGACACATGCAAGTACTTTACTAAAAGAGCAAGACACCTATAAATTTTGGAGTCATATCACTGTCTGTCTGTCTGTATGTGCTGTTTGAATTTATATCCATGACACTTTTGTTGTAACAGAATAACTCAATCAGTTTTCAATAAAATGTTTTCAAATTTTGTACAGAAGTACTTTACAATAAGAGCAAGACAACTAGATTATCTGTCTGTCTCTCCATCCAGATGTCCATCTGTCCTTTAATACTTTCATTAAGGTGCAGTAAGTTGAACAGTTTTTAACAAACTTGTTTCAAATTTGTACATTAATTAGCTTACTCTAAAAGCAAGACTTTGTAGATTTTAGGTCATATTACTTCATCTGTCTGTATGTATGTTTAAATGTATATATCCTTAATACTTTTGTTTTGACGTCATAACTTAGTTTTCAACGTAATGTTTTTAAAATTTTACACAGAAGAATTTACTGTAAGAGAAAGGCTGTTGTTATGAATTTGAGGTTCATATAACTTTTTCCGGTATGTATATATGCCTGTATGTATATCTGCTGTGTACAGTTGTCACTTTAACAGCCCTCAGCGGGGTCCTCTCTACCTATGTCAATTTTTTAGTTCTGATAGTATATGCATCCAATGTTCACTATTCATGCAAATTAAGGACATACACAACGTAGTTTAAACTTTATTGTCTTTTTCCCTGGAGTTGAAGAGTTCCAATACTTAAAGGAACTGTGTGCTACATTTAATGTCTATATATGCTGTTGTAAACTTCTTCTAAAACAAGTTTTGATAAACAAAACATCTAGAATATATGTTTAGTAATTTTTGTATATTTTTCTTTGAATTATACAAAAATTTTCATCAATTGATATCTTTTGAAAACCCCTGGTAATACATGCTGATTTTTTGTCTATGAACATCTGATGGCACTATAATCTTAAATTCAGATTATCTTGAAAAATTATCAGAAGGTAAGGTACGTTGCATATGTCCTTAAGTCTAGGTAGAGTTCACTGATTCGTGGGAAAGTATCTACTCAATAACTTCAACCAGGCCATTCATTTAGATATAGATTATATGCAGCATTACAGTCATGCTAGTAGTAAGCATCCAAAATGGGCAAATTATCCATGCAAGTTTGGTCTAAGTATGCTTCTGGTTATTTATGAATGAATCTGCCCCAATAAAATTTTAACCTGGTCATTCCTTATAAAGATATAAAAGTGAGATACCGCGAAAGCAGGCCCTGGCATACAAGTTTATTCATGTATTACACTACAAAAAAATACTTGGGAACTGGACATGGTTCCACAACTTTAGTCCATGATGCTAACAATTATCCTGATGTCATACTAACATAACAAAAATGTACAGCTTTTCCCACCTTTGTGCAGTTAAATTGGGGTACAGTCAAACCTTGTTATCTCAAACTTGATGTGACCAAGAAAAAAAACTTTGCTATATCAGAAGGTTCGAGATATTGAGGGTAAAATACTTTGAAAAAAGTGCTTTGGACTTCAAAATCACTTGGACATATCCATGGTATGCGACCTATCAGCCTTAAAGATACAGAAGTTCAGCTGTAATTATTGGGAGTACAACAGTAACTAAGAAAATATTTATGAGGATTGAGGAACTGCCACACTTAAATCAGTGTGTCAATTTCATAAAAACAAAATAATCACCTGCATATTTGAGATTAAGTCCAAGATCCTTGACTAACTTGGTATCTCTGGCTACAGTATCAATGACAGGATCAATCAGAATTGCTTCCTTTGTGTCAGGGTCAGCAAGGAGGTAGGTGTACGTGAAGGATTTATACTCCAGTAACTGCAATGAAATACATGTACAACCAAATATAGGGTTGAAATTAGGTTTTAGCCCTTATATAATGATTCAAAGTCTCATTTAACTTGTCATGTTATTGGTATTTAGTTCGTTGTTTAATATAGAATAAATCTTTCCAACAGTTTTTTCTATGTTTAGCGTCCGCGTGCGCCTTGGTTTTTGACACCCCATATCAGAAAAAACAAGCAAAATCAGGAGTCCTGAAATTGTTTATTCTGGTCAAAATCACTGAATTCTGTGAATTAGTCTAAGTATTTGTCTACAATAAGTCATATTTGGAATATTGTAAGCATTTAAAACCTTGATTTTGCTGAAGAATAGATATTTCTATAGAATAGATATAGAAAAATAGATTAATGGAATCAAATCCTTTGGAAGACATCATTTTTATTACTATAAAGACTTGTGTTTTACTTTTTGGTTTGTTTTTTGCGAATAGGTAGGTAGGTATTTGAAAGATGGGTGGACACTAAACATAGAAAAAAATTGGAATGGCCTTACTGTAAACTGATCAACTTTCCGTTTATTTTTTCTCTTGCAATCTTGTTGACCTGAGTAATGAACTCGTTTTTTGCCACAATTTTTCCATTTGGGTGATTCCCAGGTAAATTGCAAAGATTGCACACATAGGTTAACAGTATTCAGTGTTGGTAAACAGTTTTCAGGACATGTATATTTCCATATAAAATTGATAAAACTTTAAGTATACCTGAAATTTGTTTTACTATCATTTGATAAAAGATATTGCTTTGGGACATGAAATAATAACAACCACCAGCTTAAATTTAAAAGGAAATTATGCATCATAATAACGTACTTGTCTGAAGACATAGTCTTTGTCTTTTCCAGAAAATCCCGACATTTTCCTTGGAAACTGACGATGCAAGACTTTACTAAAGACGTAATTATTTGAAAGGAAAGGCAGTTCGGCACGCGAATTTTTGCAACTTGTATGCAGCTTCCTTGCCGCTGACAACGCCAAACATTTGTCGACGGAACAATATAGTCCACGAACGTTCAAACTACAAATTAATTTACTCCGACATGTTGCCATTCTATGTGAATAACCTTACACAAATCTTCCCAAATCCTTGATCTGGAAGGGGTCTTTTTGTTTACAAGTTTCTCAGTTTGCACATGCGCAAATGCTATAATATATCAGGTACAGAGGACACAAGTACTTAGGAAGGAGGCCTCCAAGTCACGTTCCGAAAGTAACTGTTCTTTTGTACGTAGGTAATATCTTAAAGATGACGAAATCAAAATAGGATAAGCATAAGAAAAGATAAAATCAATCTTTCAGGTTCATATTTAAAAAAAAAAGTGAAGACGTACTTTCACTTTCAATATTTAATTCACTTTAGTTTTGTTGACAATATAAGGGCCTAACGTTACATTTCGGCATACAGTCATAAACATTAATACCATAAAACTAATGAACACGATTAATACATGTATATACAGAGAGACAAATGTGGGGTTAACAAAATAATGTAGAGTATATTCACATATTTCTAAGTGCATTCAAATTTGTGTATATTCATTGCTGACTTTCTTTTCTGGTGTCAAAGCACTTTTTCAAGAAACAACATATCCTTCTAGCAGTTGTAATATTTGTAGGATTGACAATTTTTCTAATGTGATTATCACTAGTATATGTGTTTGCATTAAATTTATCGATGTACTTCTATATTGGTTATACTTTGAACAGTATAGCACATGTAGAACAAAAGTTGTTTTTTTTTCATTTTCAATAAACAATTTACATGAATAGCATAGACGTTTTTCTCTAGGAATAGAGGGTTTACAGTATCTACCCATTTCAATTTACAGTGGACATGGTGGATGGGCACTGATCCTTAATTTTGTTAATACAGATCTATAACTTTTTTTCCAAAGGTAGTTTAAATAACTTTGCAATTTGTATTATGAATATATTGCCAAACCCCTTAACTCCATCACTACCCTAACTCTGTCACTTTTAGGAAATGCCTCGCTGTTTATAAATGAATATGATTGTGGTGTCATTTTTTACATGCTGAAAATCTATAATTGGGCCATCATTAACATGATTAAAAATATCTTTGTTTCCCCTAACCCGACCCTAAAATCTCAAGTTGGATAGGTAGGTAGGCAAATAATTTTTTTTTTCCTGATAGCAGCTTTGAAAATACATTCTGCAATTTAATGGAATAATACCTTTATAAATGAAAGAAAGTAATTTGTAAACAGAATATCAAACAATTGCCGTTTAAAAGCAAAATTTAAGGTAAATTTACAATTCACAACAATTATTCCTTGTAAAATATCTCAAGAAAGTGTAAATTTATTGAAATCAAATGCTAAAAAAAGACTTTAAAAATACTTAGATACGTAAAGACTAGACATCTGAGTATATTTTTCAAACCTACTATCAGCTTCAAATGCTTACATATGCAGAGTACTTTTTCAAGGGCCTCGAATTGTGAATTTCAATTTGGGGTCCCGAAGTAAGAGCTACAATGTAATTCTAAGTTGCAGGTTCAAATCACATTGTGAGACGTTGAGACCGGTCAGACTGTAAAATTTAGGCCCAGTGTCACAGTAGATGCTGGTACAAAAATGATCCATCACTGCTCAATGGTAAAAAGTGCTGAGTTCAAGTCTAAATTTGGAGCCCTTCACAGTTCTCAAAGGAAAGTTCTTAAAGTAAAGAAACAACCTATCTCCAAGGGCCTAATTAAAGAAAAGTACACTGGACGTCTCAGGAAGCTGTATCACGATTTCAAAATTATATTTGGAAAGAGTTTGTAAACAATATTCAATTGAACCAAACCATGATCTAAAATGATAAAATGTCATACACGATGTCATAGTCATGAAGCTTAACCCATGAATAAAAGGCATGAATAAAGAACGTCTGAATTTTATTCGTCGGAATGAAATATCATATGCACACATATTTACAACTCCTGTAGTCACATATAGTAAACATAAGAACATAAATGAACGGTCTCAGATTAAATAAATTTAAAATTGATTGATATGTTCACAAGGTTGGCCCCTCATCTGCTTTTAAGGTGACTACTCTGTACCTTAATTTTAAAAGATAGGTTTGAAAATATCACCAAATCACAATTAGTCATAGTGAATTTTATTAACGAAATGTTACAAGTGAGTAGGATTCTAATAAGCTAAAGGCAAAAGGTGAATACGTCACAAGAACCCTCTGAGACCACAATGTTATGGGCACCATTTTGTTTCCAACGAACGCTTGAAAATCACAGTAGATCAAAATCGGTCATTCTCATAAAAACCGGATTTTGGTGAAATTGTATTTTATGAAAGTTGATGAACAATAAAAAAAAAATTTGAATAAACTTATTTAAAAAAAACTTTTCAGTCGGCGATTTAATTGGGTCGGTCGCGTTAGGGGAAACAAACATATTTTTAATTTTGGCCTTGCCGAGAAATTATAACAGTCAAGTTCAAGAATGCTTAAAAAAAATAAATAGCAATTACATGTGATATATTGTATCTATCATATATTATTGGAAATCACTAAGCACCTTTTCCTTTATGCGCTATTTCATCAATATCTAAGACATGTGGGTCAACATGCTCAATTTTACATGTCAGCCACTTTTATGAAGGTCTATGTCTCTTCTATGCTCTTCTTTTTTCCCTAAGTGGGGGACACAAATTCTCTGAATTAGCTTGTTAAATATAAGGTAAATGACGTCATTTTTTTAAATAGTAATGAAAACAACATATAAGTTCATTACTACATTTAGCAAAGAAGAAATAAATTTTAAAATATAATTCAGAGAGTAATGCGGCATGTTTACCGATTATGGTGATGGAGTTAGGGTAGTAGGGGATACCATAAATGTGTGACACCACAAGGTTTTGTCAATATATTACCCACAAAAAATTACTGCACGTTCTTCTGATTTTATTATTGTTAACCATTATTTACTCTATAAATTTAAATCCCGATATTAGAAATTTATTATATAATTTTTCTGCATGTTCTGTCTAGAAAATTAATTACAGGCCTAATTAGTACGGAGGATATTGCATCAGATTCAGAGGCATATATTCTTATGTTTCTGCTCTATCTTTCTAGTGATGGACAGTCAGGTGGCACGAGATGGCCGTCTGATGGAGTTAGTGGATGAGAAATGGAGAGAAGACAAACTCCCAATGGAGGAAGTCGCTGTGCCGCAGATGGAACTCCCAGAAATAGAACCAGACAATGGACCAACCAATGAGACCTTAAAAGAGCAGGAACAAAAGTGGACTGACTTGGCTTTGTCATCACTGCATGATCAGCCTCCTGCGACCACTAGTAACTGACTAACTGATAATCATACAGAGTACCCTCTGGTGTTTATACGAGGTCAAAAAAGTATTAAGTGTAAGGTTATCATTAAAAGTGATGATTATTCCCCATCTTCAGACATAATTTTTAATATATATGCTACCAGCATGACCAATCTACAATTTCAAATAATAATGTCAAACACTTTTGAGAAAATTGGAAGCTAGGACTAGTGGATTCCTGAGTGTGCAGCTGTACTTGTGAAGTCCATGCAGTGAAATGAACTTGGTGAGACCGAAATGAATTATGGACCAAGTGAATTTCAATCAGCAGATGTATCTGAATTATTTTAAAATAAATTTTATCAAAACATAGTATTGTTTATTACATTGCATTTCATTTTGAACATAGCTCGTGATCAGTACACTTCCAATGCATATAGTTGTCATGAAATACACTCCATATACCATATTCATTATTATTTTCTAAACTTTAAATATAGGTAAAATGAAGATGAGATGTATGCATTATTGCAATCGAACTTTACCTTGACCTTTATTTGATCAAATTCAATCTTAATCATGCAAGGATGCTCAGAGGCAAGTTAGGCTAAATGGTTCAGAAGATGAAAATATAGTTTAGAGATAGATATATGTGCAGGAAAGCTCATTTGAGCCTAGAGTGAGGTAAGAGGTACTTCTTGCTTTCCCTTGACCACTTTAAATCTGCTATGACACTGCTTAGGATGAATATCATTGCTATTTGTCACCGTACTCCAGCATACTTCTGACTTGGCGCTGCATTATATAAGGAGCATAGGAACTTTAACCAAGGCTCTTACTTGTAGGAGTACCTATCACTGGTGATGAGTGAATTTTTATGCCCCCCTCCTTGAAAAAGTGGGCATATTGCTTTGATCTTATTGGTCAGTCAGTAGACCAAGTGTTGTCCTCTCATAGTCTAGAGAACCCTTTGACAGACATCAAACTTGGTACATGTGCACTGGCAACTCCTGATGAGTAGATGACCCCTATTGATTTTGAAGTCACAAGTTCAAAGGTCAAGGATCAAATTACAGGTACTCTAGACATAGGAAGATCTTGTCCATTACAAGTACAGTAGCACCTGTACCTCCTGAAGAGTAGACACAGGAAAATTTTAGTCCATTCAATATCTTGAGAATTACCATTTGCTTGACGGACATCAAACTTTGGTACACAGTTTTTTCTAAGGAGTAGTTGACCACTGTAGATGTTGAGGTCACAGGGTCAGAGGTCAAGGGTCAAATTACTCTAGACATTGGAAGATACTGACTGCTCAATATCTTGAGAACCCTTTACTTGATCGACATTAAACTTGGTACACTGGTTACCCCTAGGGAGTATATGAGCCCTGTTGAAAGCAGTTTTACTGTATATTCTTTTTGTTGGCCAGAGAATTTAAAGAATGTTGTTTTGTGTATTATTTTAAAGTCATTACATGTAAGACAATACCTAGACTGTAACAATAAAATTTGCCTTTAGTTATTTTTTAATTGCGATATTAAATTATTACTAGATAGAACTTGAACAAAAATATGACTTTCAAAAAGAAAAAAATATATTGAAATAAGATTAAGATTATAAAGCTTGTCTTGATGGATAATTTTGTGACACGGTCTTGTACCAGATGAATGCATCAGTAAGCATATCCTTATAGGCCTGAAAATCTACTCAGAAAATAGTACTGTCCACAGCAAATAGCATTTCTAGATCATTATTCAGTTAATATTTGTGCAGGACATACATAGTACAGGTCTTAGCTTAACTTTGGAATCTTGAACACCAATACCCAGAATACCATGGATATGTCACATGGATTTGAAAGTTCCAAGCACTTTTTCTTTGAGTATTTTACCCTCGATATCTCAAATCCTCAGATATCTCATAAATAAAGACTTAAGAAAACTAGATGTTGTTTCATCTAAATACAATAAATGTGACTGCATGCTATCTCTGCACATTTAGAAATACTGTATGTGTACTTAAAAAAGCAAGCTTCATATTTTAGCGGCTTTGGTGCAGACAACCATGCACTAATTCATGAATACCGCTATAAAATCATTTATAAATACAATATAAGGCATGTATAGCGCTAATTCATGATTTCGCCAACAACTCCATACCCAGTGATTGCGCTAAATTTTGAATACGCCAATTTTTGTATACATACAGTATGTCATTGATGACAGAAATGAGACCAATTCAAAAACCTGAATCTGGTAATTCACCCAAATATAAAAAGTGAGATTTAGCATCATCAACAAGACAAGAAATCTGCATTTAAGATATCTTAAACTCAAAACTTGTACAAAGTTTAGTTTCTCCGTGCAAACAAAGATGACAACATTTTGTGCATTAATATTTATTGTAAATTTTTTTAAGATCTAATGACTGGTCATCTTCAGAGTGGACAATGTCCAGTCCAGCGAGGGAATGCTGTAACATCTTTTATGTTTGGCATACCCAGTAGAAATTGTAGATAACGGTCAAATCCCATTCCAAAGCCACCATGCGGACAGGAGCCAAATTCTCTTAGCTCCAGGTACCTAGATCAAAAGACACAGACCAAGATTAAGACTTTCTTATTCCATTTGAAAATTTCAGAAGTTTTCTAAATTGTAGTAGCTATAAAGGCCTATGGCATGTTCAGGTGTGCATTATAACCTTCTATAGCTTTTTGTTATAAAGGATACAACTATTATTTCATTATAAATACGTAATGATCACTAGTATTTATGTCTGGTTCCCTTTCCAACTTAGCCTTTGTACTGATGACTTTGATTAAGCTGCTGAATGATGTGGGTAACAGAATGTAATATGAAGATCCTATCTTCATTGTAAGATGTTGGAAGCAAAAAGACTTACCAAGAAAGAGCATCCAGGAGATTTTTAGACTTTAACTTCTGATGGAGTAAGTCATATCTCTCCTCCCTGAGTGTCCCTCCACAAAGCTCCCCAACACCAGGGATCAAAAGGTCAAGGCCAGCCACCTAACAATTCAAGGTTATCTCATTAAGTCTGAGTTTTTAAAATTTAAAAAGACTGGCTCTTTATTTAAAAAGGCATTTAAAGGGTGTTATACATTAAGATTGTTCATGCTTACTGTCCTGTTGTCTGGATTTCGTCTAGCATAAAAAGGTTTGAGTTCCTCTGGGTAATCCGTTACAAATACAGGAACATTCCCACAATGCTTTACTAAAGCTTTCTCATGAGCTCTCTGCAGATCATCTCCCCACTGAAAAAAAGAAGCCATCATCAGCATGTTATTCTGCACCAGTGAAATGAGTTTAAAACATAGGTAATCAAAAATTACGAAACTCACCTCAATGAATGTTATCTATAAGTAAGGCAAATTTCACATCATATTTTTTTTCTAGTTAGTGTACATCCCAAGATCAATATCCATGCAAGTTTGGTTTAAGTGGGACTTATGGTTATTTGGAAATAGACCTGCTCAAAAAACTTTTAGCTGTTTACTAAAGAAAATTTTGGTTCCAACATCCAAAGCAAGTCTGAAAGTTTTCATCCTTAGATGCACCATCTTTGCAAGTTTAATCATAATAATCAGGCCATAATATTATACAGCTACTCCAAAAAAATTACCCTGGTCACTCATCTAGAAAATGTAGGTCAGATTCAGAATCCAAAGCAAGTCTGGAAGTATCCATCCCTAGATACATCATCCATGCTAGTTTGGGTAAAATATGGCTAAAATTCACTCATGTGGAAAATCTAGGTCGAATCCAGCATCCGAAGCAGGTTGGTTAGTGTACATTCCTAGATGCATCATTCATGAAAGTTTGGTCCAGGTAGGGCTTATAGTTACTTGGGAATGGACTTGCTCCAAAATCATAATTCATTTAATTTTTAAAATTCAAATCAATACACAATAATTTAAGATCACCATCAATATTAACACTTCGTATATGCAGGCAGAGCAGCCCAGTCGGACGCTGCGCTAGATTTATAACAACGTCATGAATAGGGATATCCTATTTTCATCAAATAATAGTGGTTTTCCACTCCTTGTAGTGTCTCCAAAATTGTACACATCTTTAAAAATCATATATACCAATTCCAAATCAATGAACTAAATACATTCCAATAATTTCAAGTTGTTTGAATAAATAGATTGTCTCCGAAGTTGTTTCAACCATACTAAAACATAACTTTATCACTGGATGCTGTTCCGTTCGGATGGTGGATGTTGCCTTTTCTGCCAATTTATAAAACATATTTCTTGCAGTTTATTCTTAATATTTTTACTATCTGTATAGTACGCAATACTAAAGATATCATAAAATGACAATCGCCGCTATATTTGCTACATATTTCATTTTCATTAAGTTCTGACTTGTTTTAAAAATAAAATAATCAGTTTCAGAACACTTTATTTCAAAGTTTATAGCATTTTAACCCTGGGTCATGCGCACTATTTGTGACCCTTAAAGACTACAATTTTTACACAAATATTAGGTTCAAACAATCAAAACTAAACTATTCTGACTTGGATTTTCATAACAAATATTTTGGTATACAATAAGTATATCTAAGACCATTCATTTTGACATAAAGGTCATTGTCAATGAACTTTATGGACAACACTCGTATTCCCTATTGAGGCCCCTTCATGTTCCCCAGGGCAGTGAATCTAACTAAACTTGAATCTGCACTACCTAAGCAGGGTTAGAAACTCCCTAAAATTACAACTCGCAAATAATTGCGAGTACCAACAAAGTGAACTCGCAATTTTATAAGACTATGCACAATTTTCATATAAAGTTAAACTTGTATAAATTAAATACATGTAACTTAAGGAAAAAGTAACTACTGTACAATACACAAAATACAACTACAGTGTAACTTTTATTTAAATTACTGATTTAAATCAAAAGTATTGTGTTCTGTCATATTATATAATTTTGCTACAGTTTCAATGCAAAAAAACTCAACTCGCAAGTTTTTGCAAGTTACCTAATTTTTAACTCGCAATTTGGGAATTCTAACTCGCGTTTTGCGAGTTGTATACAGTGAATTTCAGACCCTGCTAAGGCTGCTTGCGTTTTTCCTCTTTTTTTTTTACCCCCCCCCCTTTCCAAAATTTAAACAAAAGGCTCATGGGCCACAATGCTCACCTAAGTCACTTTGGCCCTGCTGTTCTTCATCAGATTTCTCCCCTTTATACAAGTATATTCCTATGTAAAATTTTGATTCACCTTTTGTGGCCTCATCCTATATACAGGGGCCATGACTTGAATAAAATTGAATCTACACTACCATAGGATGATTGTATATGACTAATCATGGCTTTACTGTTCTTCAGAGAAGATGAT